AGACAAAGCGACAGCAGGGCGCTGCCAGCGTTCGAAGAGCAGCTACTGCACACGCAGGCACTGCAGACTTCAGGGCTCCTCCGTTACCTCAGTGAGTGCGAGGATCGCATGCATGCCGCTTTGATTGGCTTGCAGACCGCCTGGCGCGGCAGGCAGGTGGCTGAGGAGTACATTGCACTCCTGTCTGGCTGCAGTGATGCAGAATGGGCAAGCAGAGCCAATGACTGGCTTTCCTCCATCAGTCTTTCAAGTGGCCGCTTGCTCGGCAGTCTCAAAGCTGAGGTTAGGCAGCACTTTGTCCTGCTTCTCCAGAACCTTGCTTGCAGAGAGCAGGCCACCCTGGACCTGTCGAAGCAAGTCAAGATTGCTGTCTCTACGGCCGACGCAATGGCAAAACTCAAGGCAGGATGCATGAAGGGGGCAGCCCGGTCCATTTTGGCAAACAAGCAGGTCTCTGCGGTCATCTTGGATGAAGCTGAGACATGTGAGCTGCCGCAGGCCATGGCCATTGCTTGCGGGACTCGTGCGACTTTTGTCTTGGCTGGCGACGAGAACCAGCAGTTTCACACCAAGTTCCCAATGTATTCGAGGGCTCCTTGGATCAGCGCCGAGCCGGAGACTGCAGACAAGAAGCGCAAGACGCGTGACCTGGTGGAGTGCTCTGGCGATGATGCAGAAGAGGAGCACGGGCCGGAGCTGCGTAGCAGACTCGCCAACCCGGAGTTCAGGTCTGTGACGCAATGGCTGAAAAAAGCCAGCGCGGTGGCTACCTTGCCCCTGACAGAGTGCCAGAGGTGCGGATGGAGGGTGACTTACATGCTCTCCCGTGTCTATCCGAAGTTTCTGGCAGACTGCACATCTGCGCCAAACGCGCCAGACACATGGGTGGAGCATGTGTACTACAGTGGCAGCTCATGGGAATCTTTGCAGGCTGCCGTCAATTTGAACTCCTCTTTGCTGCCTTGCTGGAGGAAGTTATGCGGGATGTCGGGTGGCTACAAGCTCAGAATTTGCAGACATCCCCGGGCGAGGCCCAGTTGGTGGTCTTGTGCACACTGTCCAGGATCTCACAGCCATTGAAGCACGTCTTCAAATCTCTTGAAGGCTTAGTGAAGGTTGTGCACGTGGACTCTGCGCGCGGTCTTGACTGTCACATCTGCCACATCATCAGAAGTCGCCGGTATGTCGGACAGTCAGACCAGCACTGGGGCTTGCAAAGCGACCCGCGCCGAGAGTACGTGAGTTTGACGCGTGGCAAGCAAAAGACCACTGTCTGGCTGGAGGACACTCCCTTTGGGGTGCCTGGCCGCACCGTGTGGCAGCCAAAGGGCACGGCCATGGCAAGAGGAATGGCAGATGCCCACGCCCGTAATGACTTTCTTGCCCGGCACGCCAATTGGTACTGGTGGTACGCGCTGAATGACAAGGCATCTTGGCCTGAGGCCTTTGCGGCTTGTTTTCAACGCCGGCCACGCCAGCAGGCTGAAGTGGATCAGAAGCTTTTGGAAGCCAAGCGCATCATCAAAGAGGGCCTGCTGTCTGAAGAGCCTGGTCTGCAGCCTCTGCCTTGCCTTGGCCTTGGGTTGGATCCCTTGCTGACCGCAGATTTGCAAGGGTTCCTGGAAGCCAGCGCCAATGAGGTGCGGCAGAGCGGTGTTGATCGATTCCAGCACTACTGCCCCCGAGTGCCTACAGGGGATGGCGGCTTTGCCAGGGTTGCCCAACCAATGGCCTACGACGCACCGCTTCTGCGTGCCGCTGTGGCATTCGCCTTCGGAGCATCTACGCCTACGGTGGCTTTGTCCAAGAGCCCGTCAAAGGGTGTCACAGAGATGTGCATCCCGTATATCATGCTCCCTGGCGGCGTCAAGTTCGGCATGGACCCCAATGGCTACGAAATTATGCTCGGCGGCTTGATCATGCTAACTTGGGCAAGCCATGGGCTGCTGCACAAGGACACTAGAGCATTGGTGCCAACGCTCGTGCCTCACAAGGCCGAGGCTGTCGAACTGGACGGCACGTGGTGGTACCACAAAGCTTGCGAGAGCGATCGGATTGCATGCGCGCTGATTAACAACAGCTTGCGCGGGGGAAAAGCCAAGCGCCTCTATCTCTACCCAAACACAGATCTGTCAGGGCGTTGTCGTCCGCGCAACAACGTGGGAGCTGGCCCTTTGTGTCCTGATTGCGCTCCGCCTGGCAAGCAGCTGTCTTTGTAGCCTGGAGGGCTTCAGCCCTGAGATCCTGCCCGACGAAAAGCTCATGCAGAGCCAGGAGACCGTCGAGGCATCGGGCCAGGACCGGCGGGGTTCTGCTGCGTTTGCCTAACGGCTGTTTGGAACCTCTTGACCTCTCACAGTCTTGGAACACTGAAACTGTTTCTCGTTGCTCAGCTACTGAGTCCAAAAGAAAGTGTCCTGACACTTCCCATGGACACTTTGCTTTCTTAGCCAGGACCCTTTGGAAGACGATGACTGGGCTCCTGCAGCTTCTGCGACCGAAGCCGGGGCTAGCAGCGTGAAGGATTTTTTGAAAATGTATGCTACGGCCTGGTCTCGCGTCGAGCAAGATATCGCTTGGCCAGCGCAGTCGGGCGCCGCCCCTTTGCAGCGCTTTCAAGCCGTGTCCAAGATGATGGCACGCGTGGCTGCTGGTAACAACTCAACTTGGTAAACTACGCGAAAAAACAAAACTATAACTGAAAAAGATGGCAGCGCGCCGTTCTGCAGAGCGTGGAGTGTGTGTGAAGTGCACGAAGGGTGCGATATTCCTTCCAATGAGCAAGAATGCGCTCCCCACTGAGGCCAGTTCTTGTGGACCCCCTTTGGCCAGACCAATTTGATAGCATGGGTCTAAGTTTCGCTGCGCTTGGTGCGCCACGGATAGGTACAGCGGCTCGGCAACCTGCCGGAGAGCAGGCTTGATCATTCCACCTTGGGAGCCACTACCTTGTCAGGAGACCCTTCAAGGGTTTTGGGGAGACCTGGGAACGCTTCACACGTCCTTCGGAACAGGTCAGGTTTTAGGAGGCATCGCGGATGGTGACTTGGAAGACTTTCGAAGACTTCGGGGGCCTTGATGGCTCTGATCCTCGCAGCCATTTGTTCAACAGGTTCTCGTCAGCAAGCCAAAAGGATAAATCATTTGTGTGGCATCCGAAAGGAACCCGTTTGTCAGAACCCATCTAGTCTGGGGTGGAGAATGACGCTTGCGCGTGGCGGAATGTGACACTGTGTGTTGCGGCAAAAAAAAGCCAGGTGCGCATGAGCTTGTGTTTTTTGGAGGGTGCCCCTTTTAAGTTGTTAGAGAGACCAGAAAGAAAAGCTCATTTTTTGGGGTCCCCCTGCTTTGACACATACCTATTTGAGTGGCGGTTTTTCCGTTCAAGCAAACATGTCTAGATGTTGACGTATGAACGAAAAAAGGGTAGCGCCGCACGCCGCACTGCAGCCTTGGAAGGTTCGCGGAAGGTTTGCGGAAGGTTTTTTTTCCCGCGGAGGCAGTTTGATTTCGTTTGGGTGGCTGTTGCCAAGTACGTTTGCTAGCAAACCATGCACACGAATTAGGCAGCACTTATATATATAAACTTGTATTTAAACTTGTAGAGAAGCATGCTTGCGGAAGGCATCCTTCACACCGGAAGGGTTTGATACATCAATGCAAATATAAAAGGAGTTAAAACCACCACTCATGTCGTTCAGTGAAGCTGCAGTACACACGACTCTTCACTTCCAGGCGTCTGGCGGGGAGCTTCTCATAGTTGAGGACCCCACAGCCCCTTTCTGTTGCTTTAAAGGGAAGCCGAAAGGAAACCCCATGTCATTTCGGGAGGTCCCCTAAGAGAAAGATACGCCTAAAAGGCGAATCAGCTCTTCACTGCGGCTGAGTCTTTGGCGACGGCGGCGCAGAAAAAGTAACCGGTTGTGTTGCAGGGATACGATGGGTGATTCCGGCCGGGCCTGTGTCCGAGGATCTGGGGATGGTTATGGTCATGCTCACCAAAGTACCAAGTAGTTCTGACATGGCTGGTGCAGCTCCAAGTTTGCGGAGGGTTCTTTGGAATATAGGCCGGCAAAAGGCGCTAAGACCAAGTTCTTGAAAATGTGAGACCAACGAAAAAACATGTTTGTTGGTAGGTCCCAACTTTGCGACGCGCGCAACCGCTGCTTTGGCTAGGCCCTGAAGATTCCTGAAGATTCCTTGGTCCCAACCGCAAACTGAAATTGGCTCCCAGCCGGCACAACCAGTGCGGCCGGCACGGTCGGCGTAGCCAGCCTAGCCAGCGTCAACAGCGCAACCAGCGTAGCCAGCGTAAACCAGCGTAATCAGCGTAGATCAGCGTAATCAGCGCAAACCAGCGCAAACAGCGTAATCAGCGTAAACCAGCGTAATCAGCGCAAACCAGCGTAATCAGCGTAACCAGCGTAATCAGCGTAGCCAGTGCATCTGACGTGTACCAGCGTAACAGCGTAACAGCGTAACAGCGTAGAGCGACAGTGACCAGCGTATCAGCGTATCAGCGTAACAGCGTAATGCGACACGGTTTGCCACCACGCTGTGGTTTTGTGCTGTTGGAGGCTCGGAACCCTTTTAAAGGTTGGTTTTATAAAACACTGAGAGTCCCTTCTTTTGACACCCCCCACAGACACCCAACTGTTTGTGCCCCTGCTTTTGACACCCCCAAAACCCCCCCCCCCCGCCCCCCTGAAACAAAAAGAACTCTTCGTTTTGTCTGTTCTTTTGTGCCCCTGTTTTAACACCCCCCACCCACTCCTCAAGCAAAACAACACGGTTTCCGTTTTGGCGTTGCTACAGCACCCGCCCCTCAAACCAGAGAAACACGGTGGCCGTTGTTGGCGTTGCTTTGCCTGAAATTGCTTCGTTTCCCCTCAAGCCCAAAAAAACACATTTTCCCGTGTTTTTTTTTCTTGGCGTTGCTTCGCTTTCTTTTTTTGGGCGTTGTCCCTCCGCTCACCTCCCGACGCCCCGACGCGCTGAAGGTTTCGGCTCTCCGAGAAGGCCAAGGCCATGATGAAGCAGCCGGCGCGGAGCCCGGCGCTGCTCGGTTTCTCGGGCGCGGCGGGCGGCGCTCTGTGCGGGAAAGTCTGGAGGTCAGGGCTCCTTAAAAGATCTATACACTTTGCCACCAGTTGAAACATGTGGCTTTTTCAACACCAAAGTATAGTTGGACACCACCATTTACAAGTTGCAATGTTCAGGTGTATAATGTGAGGATCCCAGGAAATGGGAAATGCATAGCCCGGATTAATAGACCCCCCCTCCCCCCTTCCAGAATAGGGGGGGTTTATGAGTCCTGGGTCAGCAGAAGTCCGGAACTCAGTTACCCAAAACAGGGGTCCCCGAGATTTATTTCCCTTGTTGGGGGGGGGGGAAACATCAGCTTTTTTTGAGAGAGGTGAGTGTTTCTCTAGGGGTGATGTTTTTTCAGGGGAAATCTATAGGGCGCCCTGCCAAAGTGAATCGACCTTTTGGTTTTCCTGGTTTGGTCTGCTTTGAGTCAGGGTCTAAAAGGTTAACCTGATATTTCCAGGTCCTTTGACCAACTGAGTTCATCAACCCCAGTTTATTAATAGGTGGGTGTCCCTGGGTTTAGTGGGGAACCATCATGTTTAGTAGGATGGGCTTAGTACCATTATTTTGGGTATCATCGCATTTTTCAAGGGTCATGAAGACTCCGGCTACTTGCATCCAGTGATGCCCCCCCCCCCCCCCAAACCATGGGACTTTGAGTCAACTCAGCGTTTCGGTGTCGTCGGATTTCGAAGCGGCAGGTCATGCCATGGACCAACTTCCTGTCTTCAGCTGGTGCCTGGTTCGGCATCTGGGGCCTCGCCTCGGTGATTCTGTCGGGCGCCCCAAGCGGATCAGCGGAGGAAACTCGGCGTGACTTCTGGCGGAAGAGTTCCCAGCCAGGTGAGGATCTCGGGTGTTTAGATCTTTTTGGCTGGTTTCTTGCACACTAGGAGGACCTTTGGCTGGTGAAAAACTTACCCTCCCACCAACTAAAATGGAAGAGCACAGACCCCTGTAGAAAGACGACTTTCCTCTTGGAAAGGGGGTCTGCGCACTTCTATGTTAGTTGGTGGGGGTAGGTTTTTAGATCTTTTTGGTTGGTTTAGTGGCAGGGTCCATTTGACCAAAGCTGAACTTTCAGCATTGCTTGAACACAGGTCATAAGGTCTAAGTTGTACTACTGTGGATGGACGAAATCCTGCCCCACCGAAGAATCCATGACAAACCATTGTTGGTTGGTATTTGCACGGGAATCATCATTCCAGGGTTTCTCAGCGGGTGCAGGATTTCGTCCATCCACAGTAGCATTTGAGATCTCTGGTGCGTTTTCGTGGATTTGGGGACCATCCACAGTTTTTTTGGTTTTTTAGTTGTTTTTTAAAGCGGGCTAATCTTTGGGTGGACACCTGCCGGTGAGGGCATCTTTTGAGGGCCAGCGCGGCACCCTGTGAGGAGGTGTTTGTGTGGCTTGCGTGCCAAAGGACCCTAGATAGAAGCTCACTCCAAAGATCAGGGTTGGGGATTCCCGTAATTTTTGGGTAGTATAGTTGAATCGGAACCAAAGAGGGTGGGGGGGGGGGTGTTCACATGGAAAACCGTCATGTTGCGGGTCCCCTTCGTTACACGCGCACGCGCGTCAAATCGGTCTTAAAGTCAAAGCCGACTCGCCAGAGGAGCTCGGCCCCGGTCTTTGTCGAGTCCGCGTTTCCTGACCTGGGGTAAGTGCACCGCAGTCTGCCCATGTTAGGGAGGAGTCTCCAGGCAAATACTTAAAGGGGCAGGGTACTTGGTAAGCGGCTAGCATGTCTGGTTGTAACCCACTTGCCATGGCTAAAAGTCTCTTACCTGACGTACCCGTTTGCCCCTTTAAGTGGGGGGCGATAGGGGGGGCCCAACAAAAGGTTGACGTTCGCTTCCCCAGCTTGAAACGCCCAAAAAGGTGGGTAAAGGACCAAAGACAAAAATTGGTAGATAGGACAGGCACGTGATCACTATTGAAATTGTATTCATATTACTATGTACGGGGATAGATATATACATATATAATATGTGTATTATATACATATGTATACAGATCCCCACTTTCTCGTCAATGTCCAAAGGCTGCCTGATTAAGAATTGTATGGAACCCTTCCAACGCAACACCCCAAAACCGATCCCTTCATTTTCTCGGAATGTTTAACGACCTTTTTGCTTGGTGTTTGCTGACAAGAGCCACGTCCTCCAAACCCGGGTAGATGAAGGTTAGGGATACTCCTCTTGCTAGAAATGGGTGCGGAGATCCGCAAATGGTGCTTCTTTACCACAGATCTGGGTATGTTGACCCTGGATCAATAAACCCCTGCTTATTAAGACGCCACCCTGATAAACCGGTGCGTACCAATCCGGGGTTTTGATGACGAGCCACAACTCGGCCTAACCAGGGAGACCCTAGAAGTAAACCGGGCTTAATCCTTTGGTGCAGTTTGCCTGGCTGTTAGGACTGATTTTGTTTTTTGCCAACTAATGAATTGGTTTTCCGTACTAAACCACTAAAAGTTAGCCACTTTAGCAGGGGAGCAGAAAGCCACCAAGTATCTGGGCTTGCCATTCGACCATTTTGATACCGCCCGGCCTGACCCAAAGGTCGGGCCTATACAGCTCGCTGAGGCTCGAAAGTGTGGATGTGCGGATGGGTTGGTGGAAACGAAAGGGCTTCCTTTGGGTTTCCGGGTTTTCAGAGCCCGCTGCTGGTTTTCTTATGCTGTTGGCCAGTTTTGAGTTCATGTTCGTTTCTGAACCTGCCTGTTTCAAAGCACTCATCTTCCAAAGAAAGAAAGGTGTACACGAAGGGACACAAGTTAGGCTGCCCCTTGTGGCTTTCCAATAGGAATTGTGGACTAGGATTGCCCAACACTCCATCTTGAACAGCCCAAGGTGACTGAACACCTTTGCAAGCAACCGTTGTTGGTTCAAAATCCCCACACCCTTGAAAAGGGAATTTGGGGAGGGGGGTGATCTCCACGGCACGTTTCCCTTTGGGCAAGGCTAGAATGGACTTTGGCGACCCCCCCACCCCCTTCCCCCTTAAGATGCTTGGATGTGCGGCCAAGTTAGCAAGTGGTTAGCCACCCGGGTTATACACCTTGGCTGAAGGCCCAAGTACATAGGTGTCCGTTGTAGGTCAAATAGACGGCGCTGGTTCAGATGGCTGTTATTCCATTTACCAGGGCCATTTTTTTCCAACAGGCCACCTGTGCCCAAGTAGGTCAACTGGTTCAACCATGTCAACATGCCGAGGCAAGGAGGGGATTTGCTCGTATGGTTTAGATTCCGGGGTGTCTTTTCTAGGCTCGGTATCCCTTTGGTTGATTCTGAGTTGGGTTTGTGGATCCTTTAACCTCGACAATTCGGTCCGTTGGACCCGATGAATCAGCGTTCGGCTATGGTTTTGCCGGGTTTTCAAAGTCTGCTGAAGGCGGGGTACTTGGTAAGTGGTTAGCAAGCCTGGTTAGAACGGTTAGGAGACTTATACCCATGACAAGTGGGTTGTAATCATGGTTGTTACCGACTAAGTACAATGCTTTAAGTGCGGGGGATCCTTTGAACCCATATCTTGACTTTCATAGTGGTCAAATGGGGCTGGAGACCATTCTAGTTGCTTATACCTGCCCAAGGCTCCATCGGGCAGAATCGCAACGGCGATCCTTTTCAAAAGGAGCCTCAGTCTTCAATCAGCCTCGTCCATATAGCATGTTTGTCTGGCTTGTCACTGACAAAAGGTCAGACCCAGCCTTTTTGCCCACGGGGCAAAAGGAGCGACGCAGCCTATTTATGTCTCGCGCCCTGGGGAAGACTCTTGAGGTGTAACGTGGGGCCATTCTTGACAGGTTCTACCACCATCTTCTGGCTTTTTTTCACCGGCCCTACATAAGCTTGTACAAGCTGCGGGCTGCGGCAATATGACTGATCTCTCTATATATATATATATGCATATTCACAACGGTACAACCGTGCGGTAAAAAAGCGACAAAACACAAAACTGTATGACCTGTGGTACCCAAGTCAAACCAAGCTCCGGTCTTCTGCCGGAGCGAGCCGGAGTGCCCGAGCCGCCCGTTTTTTCGTCAGCGAGGATGTGGGGAGATCTGGGGCCGCGAGATGGCGAAGCCACCCTCGAGGATTTCCAGGATCCGAACGGCCGAACGGGAGAAGTGTTCGGATCACCGGGCTCCTTAAAAGAAATTCAACTTTTGCGTCACCATTTGAAACATGTGGCTTTTTCAACACCAAAGTGAAGTTGGAAACCAGCATGTACAAGTTGCAATGTTCAGGTGTATAATGTAAGGATGCCTGCATCATCCTCTTTTAAATGGAATTGGGGGGAGGGGTTATGATAAACCGATCCCTGGAATTCTCCATTTACTTCCAGAGTTCGCGGACTGAACAAAACTTTTGGGAAGACCGTTTTCACGGCAAACAAAACGTTTGGACATTTCTGGCGTACATGCTTTCTTCCAGTTTTATTCCAGTTGCGTTTCAGCTTTTCTATTATTTTCCCCGGTTGGTTCTAAATGGAATCTACCACGCTACTGGAAATATGTTGATGTTTGCCATCGGACAAAAACACAAATCGAGGTGAATGCCAGTTCTTCGTTGGTCTTGGCCCCCGTGTTCCAAATTGTTTTTTGGAGTCCATTTGAAGGGGGAGGCTCTCTACCAGTCCCCTTCAGACGCTGTGCCTCGCTTGCTTTGGCACACTCTTTGAAGGGTCATTGGACTTCAGGTTTTTTTGTGACCGAGTAGGTCACCTGAAAAAAAGATACCGGTGTGGCCATGTGTTGTTGTTTTGTACCGACTGGGTCGCCTGAGGATGGTGTGGCCATGTTTTTTGTTTTTTGAGAGGCTGTGTCCTTTGAAAACTGTCCCCCAACAAGATTCCCACTTGAGCCACGTGCTCAAAACCGATTCGGGTAGATGAAGGTTAGGGACGATCCCCTTGCCATGAATAGCTGCGGATCTCCGCCTTCGGAAGATCCTGTACATGGTTCTGGGTAGACCATTTTAGTACCAGGTTTTGATTGCGACTCACTTGACCTAATCAACCAAGATGTGCCTTCTATCAAAAGGAGAGAACCTGCAGCGAGCGTTTTGTCCTCCCTGGAACCCATGTGGTGTCTCAACCAAAAAGGGATTATTTGCTTTTTCCGCGGACCACTGGTCAGGGCTTGAACAGGGTTAGCAAAGGCCAACCTTGCAGCGCGGATTGGCTGGATGTTCCTTGCTGTACTTGCTGAATATAGGTGTTTCTTTTGAGGCCCTTTTGGGGTTGGTTTAAAGCCCCTGTTTTGAGGCGAGCCCATCGCCAGTCTAGACAACCGAAACATGCTTTGCGACGGGCAGTCAGTTACGGCGCCAGGTTCTTGGTTTATACATATGGGGAGTGTGCCTTTTGGGATCCCGCCAAAAAATGGTAGTCTTCCTTTTGGTTTCCCTTTAAAGCCCCCAAAACTTGGGGTGTAACCGGGTAACCCCAAAAAAAACCGACACACCCATATGCGCAGTCCCCGCTACGCCGCATTTCCGCGGTTTTGTCGTCCTTCCAGGTGCGAAGGATATACGATGAATTTGCCGCCAGGCTCACCAATTAGCTCTATAGTAGGTTTCACTTGTGGTTTTGTCCTTACCTGAGCCACAATCAAAACCCGGGTAGATGAAGGTTAGTAAGGGACAATCCCCTTGCCATAAATAGCCGCGGACGCCTTCGGAAGATTCTTTACATGGCTCTGGGTCGGCCATTTTAGTACTGGGTTTTGGTTGTGACTCACTTGTATGAGGGATCCACTGGGTTGGTTGAACCATGGACGGTTTTGCCTGGATACCTACAAAAGCGGATTTGCCTATAGTAGGTAAAGGGAAAACCCCGATATAAGAACCAATGGAACATGGCGCAGGCTTACATCATTGACAATTTTTCCAGCTGCCCCCCCCCCTCCCCCCCCTTTGCCCCCCCCCCTCCCCCCCGTTTGCCCCCCCACCCCCTTGCCCCCCCTTGTCCCCCCCCCTTCCCCCCGTTCCCCTTTTCCCCCCCACTCGCAAGCACCGCCACACGCCCGCGCGCGACCCGCCCGCGCTTCGCGCCTGATGGATTCGCGACTCGCTAGGCCCAGCACGAGGAAAAGCTCGGGCTGAAGCGGAGGCAGGCAGCGCGCAAGATCAAGGCAGGGCCGCCGTCTGCCCGCGGTGCCCGCTTGCGGTTTGGTCCGGTTTTAGGTGGACCCCGGATCTAAATCTCACTTCCAGAGTTAATGAACTTTAAACGTTTTGGGAAGACCAGTTTAGTGGGAAATATAAAGTTTGAACTTTTTTTGGGCCATCCACTCAGCCAGCGAGAAGTGGGTGTGTCTGTGTTAGGAACCGCACCTCCCAAAATGGTGGGTCGGCCCCTTTGTCTCAGTCACATCTTGAGTGGCGTGTGGCCTCCATTGTTGCCCTTGACAAACCGTCCTCGGGGTTTAGGATGAACGGCCGCAACATTTTCGGCTTATAGCTCGTGCTGTTTGGTGTTTGGATGGCAGGGCCGCTCTGCCTGCGCTGTGGCCGTTGGAGTCCGGAGTCTCCTGCGTCGGGAGGCGGGCTCTGCGGCCTGTGCAGAGCGGCCCTTTTTGTGGACGGGGTCGCCACTGATCCCCGTCTCACTCCGGCGCTCCACTTCCACGTGGAGTACGCCTTGAAGCGGGTGGTCGGTGAGGTCGCCCTGCTTCTTGGCCCCCTCCAGGCCGGAGGGAAGGGTCCGAAGCCAGCTCCTGAGTCGGGAGCTGAGGACCGTAAGAGGTCAAGAGAGGCGAGCAGTGAGGAGCCTCTCAGACGCAAGAAGGACAAGAAGGACAAGTCCAAGAAGTAAGGCTGTTCTCGGCCAGAGGGCGGTCCCCTAGGTCTTCGGCCAAGGAGCGGGGAGTCTCGGAGAAGAGGCTGGCAGTAAAGGAGGAGTCCTACAAGTACACCAGCGTCTCCCCCGACCCGGAGGCGGTTTCTTCTTCCTGGCGGCCTAGCCTCTCCAGAGGGGAGAGGACTGCAGAGCGGGTGGGACCCCGCCTGGCCCCACGCTCTCCGGATTATCCTCCGGGGGCGCATCCCAAGGCCTCGCCAGTTGAGGCTCCTGCTCCGGTGAGACCTCAGGGGAAACCCCTCGGACTCACTGGTCCTGGAAAGAGATCAGAGAGTGGGAAAAGGCTCGAGGCATTCGGAGAAAGAAGGCCAACAAGGGCCGAAAGCACCGAGACAGGCAGGAAGAAAGAAAGCTGAGGCCTCGGCGTGACTCCTCGGAGGATCCCGGAGACCTTCCAGAAGGGAGGTTGCCCAAGGTTTGATTGAAAGGGGCATCTGTACCCCTTGGCCCCTGGAGGAAGCCTACAAGGTTGAAGGGGAACCCCTTCTTGGTGGGCTTTTTGGGGTGCCGAAGCATGAGGTTGTCGGGGGCGTGGAAGTCCTGAGGCTAATTATGGACCTCCGCCCGGCAAATCTTCTTTTTGAGCCGTTGCAAGGTGACTCAGCAACGTTGCCCCTCTTATCGCAGATGGCGCCTTTGGAGGTTAGAGAGGGTGAACATGTCCTCATCTCGAGTGAGGATATCAAGGCGATGTTCTATGTGGTAGGCCTTCCTGAGGTTTGGAGGCCGTTTCTTTGTTTCAATAAGGTTATACCGGGGATAGGAGGCCACATGTGCTGTCTGCTACAGTGCTCCCAATGGGCTTCATCAACAGTGTGAGTATTGCTCAGCACGCATCGAGGACTGGTCACGAGGGCGATGGAGCTGGCAGGTGTGGGTCGAGAGACGGAGCTCAGACGTGACAAGGCGGTTCCTCGCTCCCCTTTGTTTTACAGGGTCTACTTGGACAACTTCGATACTTTGCAAAAGGTGAACCCTTCCGCTGCGGCACTTTTGGAGGGGCGGCCAAATGGGGCGAGCCTGGCACTGCGTTCAGTTTATGAGGAGTTCAATGTTCCCCGGAATGTGAAGAAGACTGTTGAACAACAGCTGGTCGCTGAGATGCAGGGTGCATTGTTTGATGGGGTTGAAGGGTCTATCCGGGCAAAGGACGAGAAAACCGCTCGATATGTTCAGGGAGGACTTTTCCTCCTAAGGTCCAAGAGGACCTCTCTCAAGAGGTTGCAAATTGTTGCAGGGGGGTTGGTTTACCTTTTTAGTTACAGGCGACCCCTGGCCTCAACCAGATCTGGGTGTTCATCTCTTCTTTCGAAGGGAAAACAGGGCTGTGGAAACCTATCCCCTTGGAAGTCAAGATTGAGCTGTGGCTTGGGATGAGTCAACTTCCGCTAGCAGTGACCAATTTCCGTCTTCCTTTTGACTCTGTGGTGACGGCCTCGGACGCCTCTGAGACGGGTGGTGGTTTGGTGATATCTACGGGGCTCAAGCCTATGGGGGCTGCAGCAGTTGAGGCCGTAGTGAGAGGTGAGACCTCTGAGCTCCCTGATGACTGTCATATCAATACAAACGTGAGAATGGGGTGCACCATCTGAAAAAAGGCTGGCGCCTCCCTTCAGTGGAGGAGCGAGAGGTGATTTTAGGTTTTCCTTTGGAGTACACCTCTCTGTGCATGGCGAAGCATGAGAGGAAGGCAAAGAGAGGAGACTGGGAGAACAAGCGCCTTACAATGTTGGGAAACACATGGTCGGTGCCTGTGGTGGCATTGCTTTTGAAGAGCTTGTTGGAGGATCAGGGGTTATCCCCCACGTCTCCCTTCGGGAGGTGGTGGAGAGATGTCAGCCAGGAAGGGGTGCGCTTCTCCAAAGCCAACTTTGGAGACGCGCTTGGACACAGCGTTCAAGTGTGGTCTCGGACGCGGAGCGTGAGGGGTTGCTGGTGCAGAAATTGGCAACGCTGGTGTCAGCACGCGGAACCGACGTCTTGCTGACAGCCCCCATCATGTGTGTTCCAAAGTTTCAACGCCTTAGATCTTCGGTCCCCGCTGGGTTGTGGGGATGGAAAACTGTCTGCGGTTGGCGGTGGAGGAGGACTCCTGGGCGGCCCGAGCACATCAACAAGCTTGAGCTACGGGCCCTTTTCACGGCTTTGAAGTGGCGAATCCAGAAGCGAGGCTGGGCCACCGGTTCCTTCACCTGACGGACTCAATGGTCTCCTTGTTAGTCACCAATAAGGGGAGGTCTTCTTCAAGAAAGCTTCGGTTGGTCCTGCAACGCATGTGTGCCTATTTGTTAGCGTCCGGAAATGTTTGCTTGCTCGGCTACGTCAACACAGACCAGAATCCGGCTGACCGGCCGTCTCGACGGCCGGTCAAGAGACGATGGTTAAAGCGCAGGTAGTGGAAGGGCGCAGCCGGGCAGAACGCAAACAAAGACGCAAACACTTAGGCACTTTGCAGGACCTTACAGTCAAACCCGCCACCTTGAAGCGTTATCGTGACTCGAGTTTTTCCAGTACCTTAAGCATGAGGAGCTCCAGCTGCCGCAAACAAAAACAGCCTTCGATGCGCAGTTCTGGGAGGAAGGCAACAGTCGCTACAAAGCTAGTGACACTGTTTGTGGTCTGCAGCATGCTCAGCCCAACCTGCGGCGGAATTTGCCAATTTCATGGCGATTTCTGAAGACCTGGGGTCAGCATGAGCTGCCCTCACGGGCCAAGCCGTTGACGCCAGCCACTTTGAATGTATTGTGTGGTTATCTACAGGGATCTAAACCACAGCTGGCTTTGGCCTTGCAGGTGGCTTTCTCGGCACTTCTTCGCACAGGGGAGCTTCTGCAGCTGCAAGCTAAGCATATACATGTCGGGAAGTCGTCGTCCATTGTGCTCCACTTGGGTTCGACTAAAATGTCGTATCGTAATGCGGGAGCTGATGCAACACGTTGGAGAACCTGGAGGTTTCCATGTTGCTCAGAGCGTGGCTTGTGCGTGCTCGCCCGGACGATTTTTTGGTGGATTTGCGCCCGCATGCTTTTCGTGCAGCCTTCCAGGGTGCTTGTGTCGCGTGTGGTTTTACAAACTGCCGGTTTAAACCGTACAGTCTCAGGAGAGGTGGTGCCACTCACCTCTTTATAGCCACTAAAAGCTACTCACAAGTCTGCCAAGCTGGTCGCTGGTCCGCTGAACGGACAGTCAGGATCTATATTCAGGACTCTTTGGCTGTACTGTCAGACATGCAGATGCGGTTTTCACGCAAGCAATTGGCCTTCTCTAAGGTTTGGGCTGACCTCCTGCACTCGCTTGAACCCCCGCGTATGCGGAAGTATGGGGGACGTGGAAGGGACCATGGTTGACCCCCTTGGGGGGGCTGTGGTGTTTGTTTTGGTGTTGGTGTGGTTGCTTCTTGTTTTCTTGTTTGTTTCCTTGATGGAATCATGGATCCCGGATCGCGATCAGGGAGGTTGTTTCTCCCTCTTTTTCTTGCCAGGGCCAAGCCTGGAATGGCTACGAGTGTTTCCTGGCATGGGGTTTTTTGTACCAACTACTTGCTTGCGGTGAAAATTGAAGGCCGTGCATCCTTGACAAACCGTCCTCGGGGTTTAGGATGAACGGCCGCAACATTTTCGGCTTATAGCTCGTGCTGTTTGGCCCACCCACCCTCACCTGTCTGCGGAAGGGACCATGGTTGACCCCCTTTGGGGGGCTGTGGTGTTTGTTTTGGTGTTGGTGTGGTTGCTTCTTGTTTTCTTTTCTGTTTCCTTGATGGAATCATGGATCCCGGATCGCGATCAGGGAGGTTATTTCTCCCTCTTTTTCTTGCCAGGGCCAAGCCTGGAATGGCTACGAGTGTTTCCTGGCATGGGTTTTTGTACCAACTACTTGCTTGCGGTGAAAATTGAAGGCCGTGCATCCTAAATCTTGGAAGCAAATCAATCATTCTCAGCAGCAAGTTAGAAAATCGGTTTCAGTGTTTCTTTGCTTGCAATATTGCGTTGGCAACCACCAGGGGTCCCTATGTTCCCCTTTTTTTGCATGCGGTGGGGGGGGGGTTAACATCACCTTCTTGGCCCGTGAAATGTAGGGAGCCCTGTCCGCATCTCTTCACTTACCAAAGAACCGGGGCACGCGAATGGATCGGTCCGTCCCAAGGCCCAGCTGGAGGAGGAGTGCCGCACTCAGATTTTCAGCTGTTGGATACCTATGGCGAGCTCGCCAAAAGGAGCCCCAAAACACCCATGGCACCGGTTTTTGGAGGTGGTTGCACGGTGCGGTTTGTAGTAAGACACATATAAACCTTGATAAGCATCTTTGTAGGTTTTGGGGGCGGCTTACCTGTGTGAAAAATGATCTCACCTGTGAGACGTACGGGAAAATGCGCTGAGCCTTGCTTGTGGTTTTACAGGAAACCAAACAAAGATCCACGATTTTGGGGTACCTAAAAATAAAAGAACAAGCACCAGGGATGAACACTCCATCCGGCTGCCAAGTTCAAGGATGGCTGTCACAAGAACTCCCTTTTGGACCACTGGGTACTCCAAAAGCGCTACCCTCCCATCCACATGGAAGCTTGCAGGGGAGTCTGGAAAAAACATGTTTCCTCCAAAAGCAACCCTGCGGAGGGTTCCACGGGAGGGTACCGGCGAGTGTTTCGCCTCTCTTGGGGGCTGTGAGCTTGCGACAATGTCGGGTAAGCACTTTCAAAGAAACCTGAAGGAACAGACAGAAACCGAAAGAAGCAGAAATTATTCTTGTTGGGGAGGGTTTGCTCCTTCCAGGTTGTAACCTGTGAGTTGTCCAGCGGATCCACCACATCTTCGGTTTCCTCTTGGGTTCCCAAGAAAGCACTCACTCCGAGTACTTAGACTTTATACTTTGTGGGTCACGCCCTGAGAGTAATCGACATCCCCGCCCCAACCCATAAAAAGTGGAATTGTAGCGGGGGTGACCCCTGGAGTTCCATTTGTGGTTCCATTTTCCCGTTCATGGGGAGTACTGTGTACTAGATCAATGGAATTGCAGGACCCCCTCCCCCCTCCCCCGTAACGTCGGACCCTTTGGGAAGACGGTTTGGAACGAGTGCAATGAACCACTTCCGGGGACCTAAACTAGCAAAGGAAGGTGAAAATCAGGGGTTGAGCGGGAATTCACCTCAAGGCGTTTCCCTTCAATCTTCGTTGAGTCAGCTTGAAGTTATAACCCAATAACAAACTGAACCCCACATTGGGACTAAACCTGGCTAGATTACCCTCCCACCAATTAACATGGAACCTGCCAGGGGATCCCTTTAATCCTGTCAGGTTCCATGTTAATTGGCGGGGAGTACCCAACTTGGCAACGAACACCTAGGACGCTCATGGAGGGCTCTGAAGCCTCCAACCCGGACCCTTGCCGTCCCAGGTACAAGGAGTACGGGATTCGGATCGGCATCAAGAAGGCGAGGGAGTCGGAATTGGACAATCTAGGGGTAGCTTCCATTTTCACATTTCTTAACCCCGGTGAAACAGCCGGTTTTTGAAAAGAATGATGGTTGAAAGCAGCGGGGAATCAACCCTTACAGAGAAGTCCGGATTGGGTGAGGGGACTGTTTGGGGTTCTGCGAACGGCTTTTGTAGAGATACCACCTGGGCTTATGTGGTGCCTTTTTGTTGGATGGTTTTCGTTTGATTCCCCTTCAAAACATGTATTTTGAATGTTTGACTCATGAAGTGTTGCTTCATTTCACCTTTTCATCGGGGTCTAAGTCTGGCCCAGACAATAACACAAGAAAGGTAGCCTGAAAACTGGACAGGACACACTGTGCACCCTATGAACGGTTTCTAGAGGGGAAACCAAGAATGACGCCGCCTCATTTTTTGGGCGGCCAATTTAAAGACAGCCCCTAGCTTGCGAAAGAGAAAATCTGGGACTTGGGCAAATGATTTTGGTCAACTTGCCACCTTACCTTTTCGGGGTGTGTGACCTTTTTTGGGGGTTGGGGGGCTGAAGAGGTGTTTTTTTGGTCGAGTACTGATTGGCCCCGGGCTCCGGCCCACACGACGAACCCAAAATGGCACCAACGCCCAAAGGATCCTCAAAACAGGGACTGTCTCATTCTACGGCACCTCCATTGTTTGGATGGTTGATTCTCCAGTCTTTTCAACCATGGGTCTTTTCGAAATGGAAGGCATTCCTAGAATGATTGTGAAAACCAGAAGAAGGCCGCTTCCATTCTTCTGCTGTCCAACTCCATCCGTTATTGGATGAGGGGATGTAAAGGAAGCCAGCCTTGTTGGGGGCTTTGAGATGCTTTGAGAAACATCCAGCGTTTTGCCTGGCAAACGAGATCAGGGACAGGGGTTCTCCAAACCCGCTGCGTTGCCGTGTTGCCCCAAAACAAAACCAAGGAGCCTCAAACCGAGCCTGAAACCGTCGGCTGCCTAGCCGAGTTTGTTGCATGTCAGACTGCGATCCCAAGCAAGCATGGCCGAAGTCCATCCCTCAAGCTTCACTCACCCGAGTTTTGGCTAGGCACAGAAGCAATCTTCATGAGTATCTCACGTCCTGAGTTCATGGAACCTGCTTTTTCTTTCTTTTGGGGGGGGGGGGACCATTTTAGTGGTCAACGGACCTTGTTCCGGCCAGTCCACTCAAGAAGTGAGATCAGGCCGCAACCACCTTCCCTTTTCATGCATCTTGGTGGCTCCCAGCCGTCCCCTTAGCCTTTTTGCTAATTAGTGTTTAGTCTGTTTAGTGGTAGTTTCCATTTAACCCACTAAAAGTTTTTTTTTTTTAGCAGGGGATCTGATGGCAGCCAAGGCATATAATGTAGATCGACAAAATCCTGCACCAGCTGGGATGGATGAATCCCTGTGAATACTGAGATAAACCACCTACCAACTGGTTTTTTGTCCATCCACAGTATGACCCTGGGCCGTTTGAACAGCATATTTCAACACGGGTGTATGAGAGGAGCCTTTTCGTCTCGAACCCAAAAGGCTTCGCTCCACAACCCGGATTGCCCAACCCAAAAGAATCGACCGAATGTGGACCCCAATGCTTGGCTTCCTTTCCCAGAGGGTCCCTTGGTAGCTCCTGAGGATGGCTTTTGGGGTACAAAAAGGGGTCCCTGGAGTCTCCTTCTGCCCCGAATCAAAAATGGGTCAATGACCGCATTATTTTGGGTACTGACCCCATTGTTTAAGGGTCATGGAGACTCCAGGTCTAAGTCTTAAGCCAACCAAAACAGGACGAGTTCCAAAAGCGACCAGACGTCCGCGTCTTCTATCCGACCAAAAGCCACCCAAAAGGAGCGAGCCCAAAAAAACCGAGAAGAGCCGTCAAAGCGTCCAGTGGCCAGGTCTACGACCTCTTGGTCCAGCCCTCGAGCACCAAAGGCTTGCGCTCCAAGGTGATGCTCCGGGATGTCTTGAAGGACCCAGCCCCGCGTGAACCAAACTGTGGTGCATTTTTTGCCCAGGGATGTGAGGACTTGAAGACTTTTTGCCAACTAAGGCTTTTTTTGTATTAAACCACTAAAAGTTAAACTGTTAGCAGGGGAGCAGAAAGCAACCGAGCAAACTGTACGGGTCCCAGTGCTTCCAGGCATTTGGCCACTATAGGAATTAGCAACCCTTGGAATATTCTTAGTTTTACCTGCATTCTTGCAGAAATCGGTTGAAGCCTATCCCAGAGCTCCCAGGCAAGCCACTACTAGGTAGCCAGGGGAACCTGGCCTTGATGGGGACCCAAGTTGAGCCTCCTGAGTTAGCCCGACCATTGCTTGAATGGTGGGTTGCAGCGTCGAAAGGCATGGCATCCCGAACTTCCCGTGGTTTTTGTTTTTTTTGGGGGGGAGGACGGGTTGGGGGGGCGGTTTGAACCCGATCGTAAGTCGGGAGCCGTGCGACTTTTGTATCTGCCGAAAGCTCTAGGTTGATACCTGGCTCTTCAGATCCAGGTAGCTTGAAACCACCAAAACCCTGGGGAAACAGCTGGTTATTGTTTTTCATGGGTACCTGGACCCCCAAAAGACCCCCTTTGTTCTGCCTTTGACCCGTAAAAAAGGGGTACAGGCTTATCTGTTCTCCCTTTTTCATAGAGTAGTTGAGGCTTCAGGCTTCAGGATGCTTTTTTTTCTAGGACTCCAACCCCTTGTCCGAGCTGCCGGAGCACGTGGCCAGCCTGCTGGGCGAGGCGCGCATCCGCCGCTTTGGGCGGAAGGACGGGCTCCTACTTAAAGGGGCATTGTACTTAGTAAGCGGTTAGCAAGCCGGGTTATAGCCCACTTGGAAGACTTATAACCATGAGAAGTGGGTTATAACCAGCGCTTACTTACCAATTACTAAGAAAAATGCCCCTTTAACAGGGCTCCTTAAAAGATACATGTTGCCCATTTGAAACATGGCCTTTTCCACCAAAATACAGGAAAACAGGGAAACCACCATTTACAAGGCAATGTTCAGGTGTATGCTGTAAGGATCCCTGTTTAAGAAGGTACTATGAGGGGGGGCTATCCCTTAACTAAGTCACCCAGTAGTCCCCTTTTACCGTGTTTTTTTGGTTGGGAGGGTTCCCCTACTAAAAGAGACTACAGACAAAATGTGTACCCTTATTTTAACCTCTCTACTAAAAAAAACTAATTAACCTATTAAAATAACCTTATCTTGAGGGCTAATTTTTGGCTTATCCTAGGCTTGTGCAGGGATAGCCATTGTCTCCCCTGACAGTTGCTACGGGGGGAATCTAAGGGAGAAGCGGCTCCCGTGATTTTGTTTGACCTAGGATTCGAATTTCTACCAAAGTGGATTCGAATTTCTCTGTATGCCGGACCTGCGGCCGGTGTCCCTTCGAGATCAAGACAAAAATCGGCTCTGGGCGACAGAGTGGAATTTCTCATCCCTTAGACTAGTTGAGCATAGAGGGACTGCATGTAAGCGACCCTTTTTTTGGCAAGCGGCTTGTGGCTTCCGTAATTCTAAAGTGGTTGATTCTATCTACTGAAATGTAGGGATTCCCCAAGGAGGAAGGGTATGACACCGTGCAAGCCAGCTATGGAATGAGAGGCATATTGAGTTGAATCAAACTTGTTGCAACATTCAACGGTTTACTTCAAACCTGATTGGTGCTCATGATTGAAGCTGTGGCTTGAAGGCGTTGTTTCGTTTCTGTATGTTCAATGTGGAATCCGGTTAGTTCCTTTAGAATCCTTGGTTTTGTCACTGGAACATTGTGTATGCAGTCCCTTCCGTATTTTCCGTCTTCCCATAGGAGCCGCTTTCGTCGAGCCGACAGGTGAGAGTTCACCTTGATGAGATGGGACATCAGGAGAGCTCAGAGCACCTCAGCTGAGTGGGTTTTAGACCCAAAAAGGTTAGGATGCCCGAGGGTTGCGGCAAAAGAAAATCGGACACCTTCTGAAGCAAGATCTCTTGTTTACCTATAACCTAGCGTGTATTTGTGTTATGTATTTGTTTGAAACCTACCATCTAACGTGGTTTCACGGTTGTTCGTAAATTTCAGGCGCACTTGCCTTGACTGATAAGTGACATCCACGGTCCATTTTGTTTAGATTATAGTGTTGATTTTCCCCTCACCCTATGATGGTTTCCACTACCCCCAAACCACTACCCCAGGCAAAAACTGGTTTGGGCATCATGTGTTTCCTCCTGGTGTAGGCCACTACTGAGAATTGAGGTTGGCTAAAATCCTCCTTTCATGTTGACAGCTGAATCAACCTAGCAGACGAATAGGGTATGTTTAACAAATATTGGTCTGTCTTTTGTTGGTCTAGGTTAGTTTAAAGGGAAGGTAACAGGAACGCCATTGGGGGGATCATGCGATTCTGAGGTCTCCAAAACGGTTTGATGGTTTTGGGTAGAAATGAGAAGCGCAAGCTGAAAACATGGAATCCTTACTTGTGGACCAAGAATTCGTTTATCAACTTGGATTCATTTGTTGGTCCCGCAACATTTTTCTGATTTGGACCCAGCTCATCGGCATCGGTCGTAAAGAAAGTCGCGCTTTGGTTTCTTTCCCAGTGCTTTCAGGCAAGCCACTCTAGTAGGATACCAGGTATCCTGGACCCCCAAAAGGACCGACTCCTTTCTGCCTTCGTACCCTTTTTTTGGGGTCAAAGGCAGAAAAAAGGAATCGGTTCTTTGGGGGTCCAGCTACGTTACCTCTAGGTTTTACAGGATCGTTTCCCTTTATCTACTTCAAGGGGCGATCGGGTATTTGGTGCTTAGTATGCTTGGTTATAACCTACCGGGGTTATTACAACCACTTCCCGGACGTACTCGCCCCTTTAAGCAGTAATGATATGGGAAATGAGGGCTGGGTATTTTATTTGTAGGTTTCGCAGGATGGTTTCCCCTGGATAGCTTGGTGGCTCCCAGCCATCCCCCTTATCTTTTTAGCCTTTTAGTGTTTAGTGGTAGTTTCCATTTAACCCACTCAAAGACTAAAAGTTAAACTTTTAGCTGGGGAGGGCAGCCCAGCTATCTTGGCGCAAGAAATGGGACGCGGGTTAGGCACGAAGATGACGAGCAGCTCATGCAGCTGGAGGCCACGGAGAAGCAGCCCGGCGCCCCAGGCAATTCCTCGATTCCAGCCCCACGCGGCGTTTTTTTGGGCGGCGGCGGCGTGAGGACATGAGGCGGGAGCCGCAATTTTATCGAACATAGAGCGCCCAAAGGACCCCCAAAGGACCGATTTTCCCTTTTTTTCTGCCGAAATGACCCAAAAAGCAAGGGGTACAAAGGCAGAAAGGAACCGGTGCTTTGAAGGTCCAGGACCATGGAAACAATGTGAGTTCACGTACCAAACCATTGTTTACCTAAAAGTTTCTAAGGAGTGGCGTCATTTAATTGGGGAGTGAACCGATTGGATTCCCTTTAAGGCAACACCAAACAACTAACCTCAAAGAAGCTAGTCCAAAGTCCATCCCCACTCATGAGGGGTGTGGTTTTCCTGCTGTCAAGAGGAAAGTCGTCATGACTTCATGACTTCATAGGTGTACTTTGGGGTTGTTCCTGCTTGACCTTGCTACATTATCTGCCAGGGCCATCATTTTTCGACCAAGAGGACACCTACTCTGGATGGACGAAATCCTGCACCACCTTACAAACCCTGGACTGATGCTTACAACCAACAATGGTTTTCAACCATGGTTTTAAAGTGGACGGGAACTACTACGCCGCAAGGACACAAGATGGACCCACGTATCAAATCTAAGCAAACCTCTCCTTGACTTAGACTCCTAGAAGCCTTTGTCCAAAGGTCTTCGCTCGGCAGTTCCGAGTATGATGCATGTTTCTCCGATCGGCCAAGGAGGAAAGGCGGCGCCTGTCCTTTGCAATGACCCGGACGAGGATGGCTTCAACGACGAGGCTCAAGCAGTTCAGTGGATACCACCGGGTCTGCCGAAAAGAGGGTCCTCTCTCAATGGTGGTGTTTGCGGGTTTCGCGTTTATCTACAGCTTTGCCCACCCTTGTCGCCCAGTGTGCCCATTTTCCTTCTTTTGGGGAAGGGTTCCCCTTGAAAGTCATTCAACCAAAGAGGGATCCCGGTTCGTTCTTTTCCCATGGAAATCCACTGGGCATCGCCACTAAAGATGGAAGCAACCCCGAAGAGCTGTCCAATGCTTCTACTGGGATCCCTTTCTGGTGACTCTCCCCGGCTTTGGCGAATCAGAGAATCCGGGATTGCCAATCTTTTGGCTGGTTTCTCAGAGACTGCCAAACTAAACCCTGGTGTCTTGGGGGGTGGTCCCCTTTTTGGCTTTTGGTGGGGGGGTTCAGACCAGTAAGGCGGGGTTTATTGATCTGGGGTCAGCATTATCCTCCCACCACTGAATATGGAACCTGACAGAAAGTCCCTTTAAAAGGAACATGTCCTTCGTGGACCCGCCGAACGTCAGGTCCATGCTTGGTGGGACGGTGCTTGAATGAAATAGACATCTTTCTCCTTTCAGTCAAGATGAGGGTTGTTGTAGGGTACCTTCCATTTCCATTCTTTCAGGGATCCTTCTTTTCAGGAAACCGAAAAGAATGGGGAATCAATCCCTAGAGTTGTGATCGAGGGCTTTCTCCAGGGTTAGTCTTCGGGGTTCGGCCCCTTGTCTCGCAGATTCGTAGATTCCATTTCAACCCACTGGTCAAGACCCACCCAAAAAGTGCGCCTCGAAGGCTCGGACACCTTGGGAGGTGGCCTTTGGTTCCAATCGGAGACCCACTTGCCCAGTGGACCTTTTTCCCTATTTTCTTGGCAAGGGTTCCCCTTCTAACTCAACCAAAAACGGATGCCGATTCGTTTTTTCTCTGGAAATTTACTGGGCGATCTGAGCAGACCTGGAAACAGAACAGCCAGGATTGGATGCTCGGGCAAGTTAGTAAGTGGCCTGGCCGGTATACAGTAACCCACGAATTACCCCGGATGAATCAACCCCCAGCTTATTAACAAGGGGGTGTCCCTGGGTTTAGCATCACTGTTGGATGGGAACACCCCTCCTGGTAGTAAGCTGAGTTGATTAGTATGGGGCCAACATGAATAAGAAGTGGTTATCCCCACTTGTTCTTCTTCCTCTTCCTCCTCCTCCTGTTCTTCTTCTTCTGCTTCTTCTTCTTCTGTTTCTTTTTCTTGCAGGCTCCAAGAAAAGATCGTCCTGCGGCGATTTTGGGGGCCTCAGCGACCCAGACACAAACCTGGTTTTGGAGGTGGTCCTACCTCGTGTTGCACCCTGTTCAGTATGTTACATAACACATGTTCCGCCCGGCCTTCTCTGTAGTTAGTATTATTATATTTGAAAAAGGCCGTTGCTCGCATATATATATATATATATATGTATCTACATAATGACAGATGGTACTGTATCATATATCGGTTTAAACCTATTCATATGTGCATGACATATATGTATATGTATATGTATACACTTTATATATATATACATATATATATATATATGTATATATATATATATATATCTATACATGTATACACATTATATACATACATGTATATATGTATATGTATATGTATATAGTTATGTATAGTAAGTACATATCTATATATGTATATTATTAAAGTTCTGGTTTATACACATATGGACCTTATAGCCAGGCGGGTAGAACACAAAGTGGCCAGTTTTAGGGGGTACAGCCAACCTGCATTGCGAGGGGAGTTGAGCTTTGCGCCACCAGAGGATCCCTTCGATTCGCTTGCCCAAAGCAATTTTCGAGCGAATCAGGCGTTCCAGATTTGCATGCTAAGTGAAATTCCAACACCCTAGATTGCCAAGTTGCTGTTTTTTCCAGTCTTGCTGGTTTTGGGGGTAAAGTGCATGGAACAAAAAGCAACTAGCGATCCAGGAAGTTTATGACAGTTTCCAAAAGACTCCAGATTCCGGAAGCTTTCAATGGATGCAGTTGGCGGTACGTGGTTGGTTTGCCACTCAGCTCATCCCTTGCTTCGTCCAGGATCTGAAGGTCGCGTCGTGAGCCCGAAGCAGCCACTGTCCGGTCACCCCGAACATCAGGGCAGCCTCACGTTAGCAGACCCTGAATTCTCACTCCCTGAGTTCCTGGACTTCATAACTTTTTGGGAAGACCGTTTTAGCGGTAAACCAAACTAAGTTTGGAGTTTTTGTTGGCCACCCCACTCAGGAAGTGAGTCAATTTCCCAACAGGGTCTTCTATCGTGCACTACGATGTGAGGTGGACTGTCGAACCTTCATTGCAGGCATATAGGATAGATGTCGAGCATTGGAGTCGCTTTGGGCATTTTCCGGTTCGACATGGCGTGTACAGTGAATGGCAAGCATTGGCATGTTCCTTAGCCGCTCCTAAGGAGCCGCCCTTGCCAGTGCTTCATGCTGAGATCGGCCCCTGCAGATGTTTGTCTTCTGGTGCGTTGTGCATGCTTCAACGCAGGTGAGGTGCAATATTTGTATAGTTTACAATCAATCAGACGTGCATTTCTTGAGTTTGTTTTAGTAGTGACAACCAAAGTGTCCTCAATTCCGGGCTCAATTACATGTCCGGAGAGTGAAGCAGGCGTCGAGTCGATATTTTTTCCCCTGCTGACTCGCTCAGCGGGTGGCTGATAGGCTAGGCTTTGAGCGAGACGGTCTGTTGTGACGGCGGACCCAAGTTTCAAAGCGAGAGTAGCCCCTGCGGCCAAAAAGGCTGGCGCACTTGCATCGTTGTTGGGATTTATTCTGCATTTTTGCTTATTGTGGTTGAGTCAACGGAAATCCCCACCTCATGAACTTTAATCTTTTTGGGAAGACCATTTTAGTGGGAAATGTAGCGAGCCACTTAACTGCTAAAAATTGAAGATTGTTGCTCCCCTAACCCAACGTCCACCAGGCTTGAGTGACAGGGGTCTCCGACCTCTCCTTTTTCAGCTAAGACTAAAAACAAAAGCGTGTCTATTTGCTTGGGTGCATTTTGCTTGGCTGTTAGGACTTTAACTTTTTGCCAACTAATGGGTTTTCCACTCAACCACTAAAAGTTAAACTTTTAGCAGGAGAGCAGAAAGCACCCAAGACTTGGATGGTGCCCTTGTTGGGATGAAAAGGATCGCCCAGGGAGAGCCATGTATTAAGAGTTCCCCTATTCTGAGACATACCCATATGGGTCTGGCTCAAAATTCAAGAGCAGGGGGACAGCAGGTTTTAGTCTTTGGTTCCATTTACCAAGGTTCCATTTTGGGTACCTATTTTTGACCCACACCCATATGATAATCTGAACATGTGATTTCTGCACCCCGTTTTTGCAGTTGCCAGAGTGATTGCCACCATGGGGGGATGGCCTGCACGTACCACATTTGTGGTAGTTTTAGGCTGGCGCTGGGTCACTGTTGGGGCACCCCGGCGTATGAACCTCCCGCGTTCTTTCGAATGTGGGGGTGTCTTTTTTTGGGACCCTTAGAAATGGATCACCTGTTGGTTTCCTTGAACACCACAACACAAAGGGGACCCTCTAAAACACCATGTGTGCTGAGATCAGCTGGATGCTTATAGGAATGCCTACATAAACCGTTACAACCGAAAGGAAAGAGAGACAAATTCCGCTTCACACCAGGTAGTCGATGGTTTATCAACCAGAACGCACAGGGTTTAATCCAGCCCCTGTGCGAATTGGATCAAGCCATGCATAGTTTAGGTCGGTGGATTTGATATTACAACCTGCCCAGATCACATGGCAGTTATGGTGCGTAGCATCCCAGAACCCAGGTGAGAACAACTTGTTTTTTGCAAGTGTGAAAGGTCGACAGCCTTTAGCTGGGAAATCTCCAAAGCTAGTTTACATTTTACGGTAAACCATGAACGCATCAGAATCTGAAAGTCTTACGTTTGGACAACGTACATATATATATATATATATATATATATAATATAATAATACATATATATATATATATATTATATCTATATATCTATTTACTTATTTTTTTTGTGTACATTATCCATCCTGCATTTGTTCATGTTTATTCTTCTTCTTCTTTTTGGGGGGGGAGGGTTGGGGGCTGTGCCCAGATTGCTGACATGTGTGCCGCGGCCTTCCAGCTGGCTCTGAGAGGCTAAGTACTCCAACCAAGTCCCGCCGCACCGCATCCTGGTGCTTTGGTGGCAATAGTTATGTCCGGAATCTACTCCTTTTTTTTGTTGGGGGGAGTTGGCACTTTCCAACACAACACCCAAGTCCAAAAAGCAGTGGTTGGGACGTTGGGACCCGGGTGCTGGAAGAAATATGGAGAGTCAGAGAGTAGTATCAGTCAGGTTCCCTGTATTGGTGGTTTGGATTGGACCGCATTGGGACCTGCTCAGGAACCCCTTTCTTTGACGGGAGCTGAGAGGCTCCATTCCTGGCCTGGAGTCTCAAAGATTGTCCATGGCCATGTCATGCTTAGGCTTCACACCTTTGCCATCCGTGATTTTATGTTCACCTCTTTGAGTAGCGTTTGTCACGTTTCTTGCTAGTCTTCATCGAGCTCGTGTTTCCCCTTCTTTGCTGAGGGAGGGTTCCCAGCCCCCCAGCGGATCCGTTTCCCAGAGGTTAGCGGTCCCTTGAACAACCACAAGGAACATATGTTGGTTACTATATGGGTAACTAAGTTATATTGGAACCACCCTTTAAAAACCAAAGGGATGATATTTTGGTTACCTGCTATATGGGTAACTGGGTTATATATAGGAACCCCCCGAGCCTAGTGTGTGGGTGCCTGTCTTTTTTTGAGACTTTTGAACTGGGTTGGTGTTCCTTTACTTTCCCCTTTAAATTTCCTCAACAAAAGCCCGTTGTAGTGAGCGTATTTGGAGAGACAATGGTGGCACTCTCCTGTTGCGAGACCCTCAGCGCTTATTTGCATTCCGGAAAAATAGGGAGACCCCCCCCCCCCCCAAATGGTGGGTTTTTCTTGCGGTTCCCTTTCAGCTAAGGCCAAACTGGCACCATCACAACAAAGTAAAGACGCGAAAGAAGAAGCCACACACACATGCGCACGCGCGGACCCATATTCGGTTTTGGACTTACTTCCAAATGGTGTGGATGCTTCGTCAGGCGAATGCATGGACGTTGACGTCACTTGCCGTGGGGCCCTCAGCTGACGGCTTTGAGTTCCTCGAATTGGATGCCAGCGAGCACTGGAGCCCGTGTCGAAGGCTCCCCTAAAATGGCCATGGGTCAAAAAAACAAATCGTGCCAGTGAACATCCGATTCAATCCAACCACTAAGATGGGTTCTAAACTGGGTGGTGAATTCACCTAGCATTGGTTTTGACCCACGGCCAAATGGGTTTTGGTTCACCCCAGGGTTCAACCCCCCCATTAGTTAGAAGAGCGGTTGACCCAATTTTCCGATGATGACAATCTTTAGGAAAGCATGGGTGTTTCTATGAACCCACATTGGTTTCATGGCGGTTTGAAGCCCAGGGGTTCTCTTTAAAACCCACTTGAAAAGGGTACCCTAAAAACACGAACCCATCTTGAGAGGATCCTTTTAAGCACGTGGGTTTTGGATGTACCCTTGGAGCCCTGTGTTAGGTCAGCTTGATGGGTTTCAAGCTCACCAATCGTGGATTTATAAGGATCTCTCCACAAAGTATAGGTTCCTTACTTGGGGTAGGATTCGTATTTCATGTTCTCGCGAGGCGTTGAAGGAATGATTCGCTATGTTCACTCAATTTGGATGATGAAAATCCTTAGGTAAACAATGGTGGTCATATGAACCCCTACTGTTTTAGTGGCTGTTTGAACCGCAGGGTTCTCAGTTTTGTAATTGATCCAAACAGATTCCACTGCTTGCAGTTCCACGATGTTGATTTTTCAATTCGACGCCTGGGTCTCGCCATTTGGGCGTTTTTTTTTGCTTTGGGGGACCGAGAAACCGCTTGTTTTGTTTTTCTGAAAAACCAAAAGGGCTTCCTTCCAAAAAGAGACCTATGTATGTTCCGCGTCAATTTCAAGTGCCAACAGCAAATCAATACTCACAACAGTCAACATTTACAGACATCTACTGTAGTAAGGGGGTGACATGGGTCACACTCGCCAAAATACAATTTGCACATCTGGGTTACTTACTCACCAAAATCCAATGTTATTGGGGGACACGATAATTTTAACCGGGGCTCAGGTATAGCTATGCATGTTTAGTCGAGATGTTCACATACCTTCCTCTGATAGAATCATGTCTGAATAAGACATTCTCCTCGAAAGCACTTAATGGCGGATGTCCCCGGCTTGACTCAAAGCCAAATGAAGTATGGAACCACAAACGGGGGGGTCGTGCTGTTCTGGGCGCCTCCATTTTTAGCAACCCGGACATACTGTTAGAAGCAGAGACGCCCAAATCTTTGTAGGTTTCCCCAATTGGTGCCTCTTCAAAAGGGACGCCAATCCACCAGTGTACTCGAAGTACCAGACAAGCCCTTTTGGCTCTTTACATCCTCTGGACTGTTGCAGTCAAGAAGTTGTTTGGGTTGACTGGTAGGAGCAACCCCACGTGCGTCTTCAGTGCCTAACAAGCCCACCATGACGGTCAATTGGGCATCGTTTTTTCGCATGGTTGTTCTTGATTATCTATACCCAAAGGGAAACCAACCTGCAGGAAAGCTCAGAGCAAATTTGGACGCCACATCAATCAGTCAGTTCTTGCTTTGTATCTTTTCTCAGACCACCAGGCAGCCAACAGGGCTGCTTAACATGGGCAAAAAAAAAAAGAAGAAGATCCCAGCCCAGGCAGCCAATGCCGCGTGTCTTCGCGGAGCCGAAGCCGCAAGCACGGGAGCTCAGCGCGGAGTTGAGGCGGTTGGCACGGCACTTGGGCGATGGGAGGAGCTTCACTCGGCTCACGGGGTTGGCCCTGCTTGTTGGAACGGTATTTGTTTGGTACTTGGCTTCGGGCAACACAAGTGGTTCGCCAACAGCTCAGGGTGCTAGCAGCTGACGAAATTGGCCGAATACCCTAGTACTACTCCCAATTCAACGATGCTTATGAGTTGTTGTTTTGGTTTGGAGCCGGAAGACGGGCGGTTTTGGTAGGTGGATTCTTTTGGGAAAGTGTTTGCCAGCCATTCTTCTAGGGGTTGATTCCTGTTTTTTTGAGTTTTCACCAGGGTTTCAATAATTGTTTTCTGGAAAGAAGGATCCCTGGAAAGAGTGGAAATGGAAGTTGCCCCAAGATTTTTTTTCTTGCAACCTTTCCGCGCACGTGACACAAACTGGATTTGTGCGACCTCATGATCAAGGCACTCTTCATGACGATGTTCCTTTTAGCTTTGGGGTGGGTGAGGGCGAATAAACAACGAGTAGGCTCCCTTTCGGACTTCCACTGGTTGATTTGCTTTTGTTTCTGCGATGCGCAAAGCCACCGTATGAAATTGATTTGCAATGAGTTGGGCAATTTCTAGGCTTCCTTGTTTGGATCTTTGGCCAAGTTGTTCGCCGCCTGGGGTACGAACAAAGTTAACTCTGCTGAACGGGGGACTTCTTTTACGCAGGTTATTGCTCAGCTTGCTAACAACTTACAAACTTAGCAACAACCTTCCAAGTATACCTTGAGTCTCCATGACCCTTGAAAAATGGGGTCATTACCAAAATAATGGGTCATTGACCCATTTTTAGATGGTCATGGAGACTCCAGGTAGAGCTTCACCAAGGAATCCGATCCGTACGTGACCCATCGGCTTCCGAGCGATCTGTTTTGAACTTATCCATGGATCCGTTGGTTTCCTTTCAGCCACCGAACTCGCTTTGGCGGCTTTTTTTTTGTCTTTTCTTTTCCGGAAATTGTCGGGGCTTTCTTTGATTTTTGGCTTCGTTCTTTGGCCTTCCTTGCGTTCTTTGGTTTTTGGCTTCGTTCTTTGGCCTTCCTCGCTTTCTTTGGTTTTGGGTTTCTTTCTTTTGGGCATGTCCTTGGTTCCCATGCATGTTCCGGCCGCTGAAGCTTGCCGCGGTGCTTGAACAGGTCTGGTCGGCGAGCTCGCCGGCGTCGCCACTCGTCATCCAGGACGAGACGTGGCCTTTGGTCGGAGCTTGAGTCATCTCAGCCGTCTCAGCCCTTTCAAAAGGGCATCCTGGTAAGCCGCTTTACTGTCCCCCCATTGCAAAGCCCTGTAGAAGTTTTGTAGCCATCCACTTAAAGGGGCAAACTCTGTATCTACCATGGTTCCTTCAATGGCTGTCAAATCATTTCTTAAGTGACCTTGGGCGATTTTGGGGGCCATTTGCTCTGGCCATTCCAGAGTCCTGATTACCTTAAAAGTCAGATGCTCTGGCCATTTGGCGCCGCGAGTGAGTTGGGTTTGTCTTTTTGAGGTGTGTCTTCTCAGATTGGTTTGGCAGAGAAACCAAAAAGCAAACCCCATCATTCTACTTGCAGGGGCGATGGGGTACTTGGTAAGTTGGCAACAAACCTACAACCATGGCTTTTTTGGGTTATCTCACCATGGTTATTGCCCACTTACGCCCTTTAACATGGTTGTCGTTTGGAAACATTTTACATTTTTGCTTATTGTGGTTTAGTGGTTAAGAAATCCAACCACTTAACCGCTAAATTTTGAAGATTGTTACTCCCCTTCCAACGTCAACCAAGTTTATTGGGGGGTGCATTTTGACACTTCCCGCCCTTTTTGTTGAGCAAGCAAAGTTTCGGACGTCTTGCTAGAATCTTCCCTGGTGAATGGCAAATTAGTCCAACCTGAAATAAGGCCGGTGTCCTCTTGGCGGTGAAGTAGGGAGCCCCGTTTGTTGGTTGAAGGAAGCCCCGGGGTCCCCGAGGCGGTTGAGTCGGAAAACCGCTCGCCAGGAGCGGCCGGAGTTGGAGATCCTGTGATCGTCGGCGCAGGCGCCGCCACCGCCTCTTGGATTTGGAGCGCCTCTCCGTTTAGGGTGTGGCAACCGTTTTTCTACAAGGGCCCGGAATCAACAAAAGTGTGGTACCCAAGTTTGGTACCTAAGGTTGGCTCAGGGGTGTTTTTCATCTAGGAGTAACTTCCCGAGTGGATTGGCAATCCAGGCTTATCTTTTGGTTTACCAGCCACTAAGATGTTCTTCCCAAAACTCTAGGGGTAACTTCCATGTCCATTCTTTCCAGGGATCCAACTCTTTCCAGCAAACCACCCTTGAAACCCTCGGGAAATGACGATCGGTTCTTGAAAAGAACGATGGCTGAAAAGAATGGGGAATCAACCCCTAGAGTTTGTTTTTTCCCCCGAGCCTCGAACAAGAGGTTTGTCTCTCAATGGGTTTACCCCCAAAATTGGTGGTTTCCCTTTTGATTCCCTTTAGAACAGGGTACCAACTCAAAAAAACAGGAACCACACCCAAGCCTCTCACTTTTTGAGTTCCTGGACTTTAGTCACTTTTTTGGTCCGGACCATTTGTGTGATAAATGAAAAGTTTATATTTTTTGTTGCCACTCCACTCAGGAAGTGAGGCGGGCGCCCGGCATTTGGTTTTAACCGACGCCAACACAAGGAACACCACTCTACATCTAAGTTTTTTTGGAGCTCGGGCATGTTGCTTTTTGAGGCGCGCTTGGTGCCCTGTGAAGCACTTGTCGCTTCAAGTTAGGGAGCCAATTTGCAACTCTGCTAGCTGCTTGGATCTTAAGACTCACGACTTTAGTTTTTCATGCGGGAAGTGAGTATTTGTTTAAACAAAAGCCAACACGTAAAAAACTTGTTGCACAGGAATCCGATTGAGCGATTCAGGCTCAGGACGCTTTCTTTTAGATTGAGTCAAGCCCTCATCCCCCCCCCCCGGCACCTTAGGTACCAAATGAACCCCTTCTGATGTGTCTCTTTGTCTCTGTCTGTGTGCCTGTGTCTCTGTGTGCGTGAGTGTCTGTGTCTCTGTGTCTGTGTTTGTGCAAGTGTGTGGTGTGTGCGTGCGTGCGTGCGTGCGTGCGTGCGTGCGTGCGTGCGTGCGTGCGTGCGTGCGTGCGTGCGTGTGCGTGTGTGTGTGTGTGTGTGTGTGTGTGTGTGTGTGTGTGTGTGTGTGTGTGTGTGTGTGTGTGTGTGTGTGTGTGTGTGTGTGTGTGTGTGTGTGTGTGTGTGTGTGTGTGTGTGTGTGTGTGTGTGTGTCTGTGTGTCTGTGTGTCTGTGTGTCTGTGTGTCTGTGTGTCTGTGTGTCTGTGTGTCTGTGTGTCTGTGTGTGTGTGTGATATGTGTGATATGTGTGATATGTGTGATATGTGTGATATGTGTGATATGTGTGATATGTGTGATATGTGTGATATGTGTTGGTATGTGTATTTGTGCTTGTATTTATGGTCTTTGTCTTTGTATGTGTTTGGTTGTGTTTGTGTTTGTGTGTGTGGTCGTGTTTGTGTTTGTGTTTGTGTTGTGTTGTGTTTGTGCTTGTGTGTGTGTGGGTGCGAGTGAGTGTGTGTGTGTGAGAGAGAGTGTGTGAGTGTTTGTGTGTGAGAGTGTGTGAGTGTGTGTGTAAAGCCTTCCGGATTCTGCTTCTATCGGGTCACTTTCCGAGGTAATCGACATCGCACACGGCGCCGCAGCCCTCAGAATTCGAGGACCCCCCCCCTATTTTGGTCGTCCATGTGCGTGGTCCAGACATCCCCTGTTGTTGTTTGGATGCCTTGGTAGTTCCTGACTTTCATTTGCCTTACAATCTTTGCCAATTCCCCTGTTGTTGTTAATTGAAGAGCATCCATCAAAAAGTGGAAATGTGTGCTCATGTTTTTTCGCAAATGGGGGCAGAACCGCTTGAGCCGTACCCAAGGATTCGGTCCCCTTTGTGGTTTTCCATCAGGGATCATGGAGAATGGGATTCGCCCACACTCCGTTTTGAACCGCCGACTTTGAGTAGGTGGCTCTATGTCGCAGTTTTTTTCTGGGCTTTCGTCTATACACCTGTAAAATCCATGCTCCGAAACTTCCCCCAACCCCCCCCCCAAACTTGGAAGGACCAAAATTCAATGACGTTTGGTTACTGCTCGGTGGCGTTCCTTGGGCTTGGGCCCTCGGGCGTTTTGTTTGTTTTTCTCCCACGTGAAAGGGGGTAAAACCAAAGACTACATGAAGCAGTCATGGGGTTTGCCTTCTTTGGGAACGGTTCTCATGTAAAGGAGAAGTGTTCAGTTTGATCAGTTCTCCGAGTTCCTGGACTTTCACTTTTGGGAAAGACCCTTGGATTTGAGGGGTACTTGTTTTGTTCGTCACTTCAGGAAGTGAGAAAGCCGGTGATTCATGTTGGCGTGCTTGGTTTCGGAGCTCGTTTCTGACTGGTTTTGGCCCTGAGCGCTATGGTCTTGTTAGATGACTGTTTTCAGACAGAGCAACCGGAACATGTGAAATCAACCAACAATCCAGAGTTTGGGGTTGGGGTTTTGGGGCTGCTGCAGCTTAGTGTGTGCCCAGATATCTAGAGTGCAAATAGCCCTTTGTTCGTGCGGTGTGTTGGGTCCAGCTCAATTCATGTAATTGGTGTCTTTGAGTTTGAATTTGCATTTGCTTCTTTCTTAGGACGGTTTCCCAAACCTCTTCAAAGCCGGCCCCAAAGCACAAACACAAATACGGGCACAATGAATTGTAGCATAGTTGCGGGTCCCGGACCCTCCATTTTTAGCTGCCTCAGGTGCTGCATTTGATGACTGTAAATCCTGAATGTATCGAAGCTCACAAATCAATCCGAACGATTATGGGTGTGTCTTTTCTTAGGGGACCAAATTGTTGGTGTGTCCTTTTGGTTTCCTGATAGAATCAACCCAAACAGGGTTCCCTCAAAAAAGACAAACCCTTTTTGGTCCCGCCGAACTTGGACGTCACTTTGAGTTGTTGTCGAAGTTGGGTCTTTTTAGCCAAGACACCCCCACAGGTTAGCAGTGTATGTCCCGGGTCCTTTGGTCAAACAAGCATGTCCTATATCTAGGTCCCCCAGTAGTGCCCTTTTACCCTTTTTTTGGGGAGGGTTCCGCTACTAAAATAGACTACAGAAAAAAATCGGGCACCCTTATTCTAACCTCTCAAATCTGGAGGACCTAGATAACGTGCCCGCGCGTTGTTGGAACTGAGTTGCCTCAGCCCGTCTCTTGATGCTCAAGCCCTTCACGGGGGATCCACAGACGGGTTTCAGTTTTGGGCTCATCGCAAGAGACGGCCCGCTTAGTGAATGCCCCGGTTTGGAGTCCCCCTCGGCTACCGAGGGAATGCCAATTGACGAATCACCAAGCACTTGGAGGTTCGATTCGCCAAGATAGTAAGTGGATAGACACCTAGCTTATGACCCACCAATAGCAAGGTTAACACCACTTAGGGGGACATCAAGTAGCTTACTAAGAACTTGTTGCCTTGGCCGAGCACCCAAGTTACAGCTTTGGAGCATTTTGCTTGGATGTTACTGTAACTCTTTGCCAACTGATGGTGTTTTTCCGTATTAGACCACTAAAAGTTAGTCACTTCTAGCAGGGGAGCAGAAAGTGACCGATCCAGGACGAGCCTTTTCCCGGCCGCGTTTTCGTTTCGCCCGTTTTTGCGCTCAAGGCCGCAGCCGTGATCGGCGCCGCGAGTACAGGCGAGTCCGAGCAAGCTGCAGGAGTTGGTTTTCCCCACCCCAAAAACCAAATGCAATCTGAAAAGAGAAAAAACGGGGCGACCCCTGCGCCACTTGTTTGTTCTACTACACCCCAGCACAGGCGTGAGTGTAGCAGGTGGACACTCTCACTGAAAGGTCGCCCCCTTGAAACGTCATTTGTGGTTCCATTTACCCTTTTAGAGGAAAGACTAGATAAATGAAATTTGGGGACCGCCCTCCCATCCACCTCATCCTTATGGTAGGGGGATCGTCAGTTACTCACGTCTCAAGTGTTTGGACTCGATAAGATTTGGGAAAAACATGCCAGTCTGGCTGGCAAACAAAAAGTGAAGCTTGGATTGCCAATCCATTCGAGAAGTAAGGTTGCCCAACCTCCAAAGACTACCTTGCAAGGATAATCAGCTCGAACAACTGCCCCAACCCCCCCCCCAAAAAAAAAAGAAGAAACTGTTACGACTTGTAGGTGGTTCTACTACCTGGTTTCACTGGGGTTATAGTAAAGCCTATGTACATTTGAATTAACATGAAAATATAACCAAGCATCAACGGGTTTCTTGCGCTCGTATGCAAATGGGGGACTCCAAAACACGGGTTTTGCCTGCGATGTTGGATTTCCATAGCCCTGGTTGCATGCCCGAGAAATAGGTCACTCATAAGCCGCTTGCTATGAACCCAACTAAGATACCTCGTGGATCTAAGATGGTTTCCACCCCACCCCCAAACCCCCAGATTTTCATGGGACATACGGCCACTACTGTGGATGGACAAAATCCTGTACCACCTAAGAACCCTGGAATGATGAGTCCCCCTGTAAATACCATCCAACAATGGTTTCCCATGGTTTGAAAGTGGTGCGAAACGGATTTTGTCCATCCACAGTATATATCCACTGTATCAAGTTGGCAGAATTTCGCGATTTCCCCAGCGACCGTTTTTTTTGGGGAGGTGAACATTTCCTGGTGTCCGGGAAGTTTGGTTGACCAAGGTCCAGTTCGGGAGCATCCAGTTTTCCGGTTCCCCACCAAGAAGGTCGACATCTTCGAACGTTCGAATGGAAGCCCCGGAGTAATCAGCCGCTTGCTCATAGGGGGACCCGTGTTCTTGGGTTTTGGGCGGGGGGGAGTCCTCACTTTTGGAGGGGAACACTTATCCACCTGATAGGACAGGTGTATCAACCCGGGGTCAACATGACCAGGGTTACTGGGGCTTCAGCAAGTATTATTTCTCTCTCTCTCTCACACACGGCGCTATGGTACCTGAGGGAGGAATGGTTGATCCCAGATGGTTCCTTTTCAGACGCACTTGGGTTTGGAGGTTCTACCACAGTTGCAACGCATTTTGCGGGTTCCCGCTTGAGGCGCTCAAAGCGCGCAAGGGTGACTTTCTGGGCATGTGTCATTGAGGACCCTCCAAAAGCGGATTTCGGTGTTCCTTTCAATTCCCTTTGAAAGCACCACACAAGGGGCAGCCTCAAAAAAGACAGACCCAGCATGTTTCAACTGGTGGGGACACCTGGAACTAATCCCAAAAAAAAAGAGCAAAAACAACTGGAACTAATAAAAAAAGCAAAAACAAAAAAGCAAAAACCAAGAATCCAAATGCCAGCCTCAAACAAAACGCAGACCCTTGTGAAAAAAAGGAAAGAACAACAAGACAACCACTTGAGCGGGGCAGGAGCCGTCGCCGCTCCAGGTCCTGGAGGCTGTTCATTAGGTAACCCAATGAGTTCGGTGGGTTTTTGCATGGTTTTTTGTTCCTTGTTGCTTCTTTTTCGGGGGTTTTGGGTGGCTTTGGGTGATTTTGGGTGGTTTTGAGGGGATTTTTGGATGGGTGGTTTTGAGGGGATTTTGGATGGGTGGTTTGGGGATTTTGGATCGGTTTGGATTTGAAGTCGAACTGTTTCTTGTGGGCAAATGGGTTTCCGCCCCTGAAGGATAGATCCAATCCAGCAAGAGGAAAGCTGATATTCAGGCCATTCATCTTGCTGCTTACCCCTTGGCATCAAGCAGATTTCGGAGCGATGCCGAACAGTTCATTTCCAAAGGCCCTGATTCCCGAGAAACAGCAAGTACTTAAAGGGGCAGGGACTTAGTAACTGGCTAGTACGCCAGCTTATAGCCCCCATAACCATGGCAGGTGGGTTAAGACCAGGCTTACGAAGCCCTTTAAGTACTTGGTTTGGATTGGAACTGGAATTGGAATGTTTCCGCCCCCTGTGGAATAACCAAGCCAAACCGTTCTAGCGGAGGAGGTGAGCTATGCCCTAAAGGAGGTAGGTAGAAGGGGTCGTTAGTTGAGAGCCCAGCCTTAGGGCTGTTACTTTTTGTGGCCCGGACTTCGTCACTTGGGTTTGGACGATTTTTGGCACATACAAGGCTGGACCGTTTCTTGGCCGATCCTCCCAGGAAGTGAGATTCAGACCCCAATTTGTTGAATGGTACAGGGAAAACAGAAGAACAACTCAAACATCTTAGCGGCAAATAGAATGTTTGGTTACTTTTTTGGCCAATCCACGATAGATAGGGGTCAATGCCAGAAACTGCACATTTGCTCGGTGTGGCTTAAAGTTAAAGAGCAGCTAGAGTTTGGCAGGTTTTAGTCTTTGGTTCCATTTGCCAAGGTGCCATTTTGTTACATTATTTTGAGCCACAGCCACACAGTTGCCTTCATGACGTTCAGGCAAAGCATCTCGAAGTATTCTGTGGTCAGGGACTCACTCACATATTATGACCGTGGCTCGTATGATGGGTATGTGTTCGTTTGAAGTTGCTACGACTATTGGGCCACTGGGGTGGTGTTCAAAAGGGACACCAAAGGCAGAACAACCCAAGCAGATCCCTTCATTGGTGCTGCAACCCGGGGTTGGGCCATGCCCTAGCTTAATCAGTTTCAATCCAGTTCAACCATAACTGTCTGAACATGGATCCCAAAAGGTTGCGGTTTCCTTTGGCTTGCCCTTGAACCACCAAAAGAGCATTCTCAGGAAAAAGGAGGCCTGTATCACATACAAAGACGTCTCTATCGTCTTTATCATAGATCCTTTCTTTTTGAGAGTAGCTACCCTGGAAAAAGCAAGGACCCATGCAACCTTTGATTTAACGCATAGAAAAGAACGGGAGGCATGTTTGTTTGTGTGTGTGTCTCTCTTTTTAGAGGGTACCCCTTGTTCGGTGTTTTTACCCAACAAACCAACAGGAAAACGGGGGTCCCCCCTTTGGTTGGTTGATGTTGAAAGGGATTGCAATCCCCGCGGGTCTCGCGTGCGGAGTCTGCGGGAGACAGCAGGCCGCGCTTCGCCTCTGTGTCCCCCTTGGCCGATCCGACGGCGCGCCTGCCCTGTGGCCTCACTTCCGTGGAGGCACTTCGGTGCTTGGGGGTCCGAGTTGTTCTCACGTCCTGAGTGGAAAAAAAGGTCTACCTCAGCTTGCAAAGTGTGCCATGATTGCAGGTTTTATAGAGTTGCAGAAGTACTTCCAGGTGGATTTAGAGTTGCAGGTTCAGATTACTTGCACGTTCACTGGAGTTCCCTACATTTTATAGACAACTCTACTTAGGGGGGGGAGCTTGAGATCTTAGTAGTTTGGTGGGTTATGAGCAAAACCACTTTCGTCACGGGATTCCTCTTTGAGCACCCTACGACAGGCAGCTGAGGAACTTGCAGGATACTCATGATCTTCCGTCTTGATTCCCTTTCAAAACTAACCAGTGACCAGCCAACGCTGCAGAGCTAGCGTTCATGGCAGACGCTGGCCCCTAGGAGAGCAAGGAGGCCATGGGCTTTTGCTTGGAGCCCTGAAGGTTGGGAGTTCTGGTTCATGCCCGGCAGTTGTGTTTATACTCGCACCTCAAGGTGCAGGGTTGACTCTTGAGTTTAAGCGCGCAGGCTGGCAGCCTTTCCAACAGGAAGTGGTCCAGGATCTAACTTCCTGGACCCCCTTTGGGGGCCGATTCCCTTTTTTCGGCCTTTGTACCACTTTTTTTATGGGTCAAAGGAAGAAAACGGGCACTTTTGTTGGGGTTTTTCGGCCTTGTAGCATGTTTTTATGGGGGTCATTTCGGCGGAAAACGGGGCCCTTTGCGATTCCAGGTTGTTCTCCAAGGTGAATGATTCATATTTGCCCGGACTTGTTCCTTGGGATGGGCTCGTTTTTAATGCGCAGGCCCGACTAATTCCCAACCCAGCGCACATTTGGCTGTGATGCTTGGTTGCAACACACTCCAACATGGTTGGTGGACCCGCATTCTGAATCCTATCCACCGGGTCAACAGGAGTCATACTCATTTGAGGTCATTCACCTCCCGGACGGGGTGCCCATGTTCGAAGGGATCCTTCACTCTTGGGAGGGACATGGGGGAAGTCACTAGACGTCCTCAAAAACCAGGCTCACCGAACAAATGCCCAGGTCCTATGGCTCATTTGTCCAAAGATGCCAGAAAAACCCCTCGGACATGGAAGTGGGGGATGAACCCAGGACTCATAAACCCCTTGGAGTCTCCTTCTGCCCCTTGAAAAATGGGTCAATGACCCCGAACTTTTGGGTATGACCAACCATTTCTCAAGGGTCAGAAGGAGACTCCAATTGTTGTTTTCTTTTTGGGGGGCCCTTCCATTTCGGGGATCCTTGACTTTGGGGGAGACACCCTTCCAGACCCGTCTCTCGGGTCAACAGGTCAGACGGAAGTACGGGCCCCTACACATTAGCAGCCGGAACCCGAAAGAAACGAGCCATGGGTCGAGAAAGCTCCTTTCGGGGAATTGTTCGACAATTATTTGGAGCATTTTGCCAAGGGATGTTAGGACTTTAACTTTTTGCCAACTAGTGGGTTTTCCGTATTAAACCACCAAAAGTAAAACTTTTAGCAGGGGAGCAGAAAGCAACCGAGAATTGCTTGGGGTTCTATGTGCGTTTGTAGGGGTCCTAGCGGTTCTGCCTGTTTGCGAGCATTTCCCCCGGCCTGTTTGGGCCACGAAGAGTTCGGAATGTTCGAAAGGAGTAGTTTGCAGCCTGGCTCCCGCAGGTCTTTGACCTCTTGTCGCGGGAGATCACGCAGCCCACCCAGAGATTGAAGTGGACTTGTCGTGTTGCGGAGGAATCCCTCTTTGGTTGGCTTAGGGAGACCACACACATGAATCATTCACGTCTTGTCAGGTGCAAACAAAGACACAGCCAAGCAAGGTGAATCCCCTCCCCGAGTCACTCTCTTCTTCCTTGAGACAGTCCCAGGTCGAAATAAAGTTTCGTGGAGATTTCTGGCGGGTTTTGAATGGATCTCTTTGCTTTTTCGTGGATTGGCTCACTTGCCCCTCTGAGCTCGAACAGCTGATCCTGGAGTCTCCGAGTCTGACCCGAATCAGAAATCGGTCTATGACCAACCATTATTTTAGGTCATGACCAACCATTTTCCAAGGGTCAGAAGGAGACTCCAGGTGGAGCTTTGAGCCATCCCTTCGAGGCCGAGGGCCATCAAGCGCTTGATGGCCCCAAAGCCGCTTGATGGCCCTGAGCCAATAGGTCCAGGAATTGGTGCCCTTTCTCTCCGTTTCGTTTTCGGTGGGGAGGGTTCCACTGACCACAGAAACAATTGTTGGTACCACTGACCACAGATCTGGGTCCCCCAGTAGTGCCCTGGGGAGGGTTCCCCCTACTAAAATAGACTACAGAATAAAATCGGGTACCAACTTATTTTAGCCTCTCAAATCTGGAGGACCTAGAATAGGTCTTGGGTTGGGAAACCAAAGGGAAAGCATCGGGCCCGAACCCCTACGCATACCGTGGGCGATTGGTATTGGGTTCAGAGTTGCGTTCCTTTCCCAGCCAAATCACAAGAGAGTGGTTCAAGCGTGGGTAGATAGTTGGGTTGAAGTTGCGTTTGGTTTCTCTTTTGGAGACCAATATTCGACCTTTGTCTTGTTTTTGGAGCTTCAGCATAGCGTGAGGGACATGTCAATGGATGCCATTGGCAAAACACCAAGTAAGAGAATGTGTATCGTTCTGAGACAAATTTGGACAGCCCACTTCCAGGGTTGCTTCAGCCCAAAACGTTCCCCGCCTATGGAGAGCAACGCTCTGGGCACGGGCCCTTGTCTTTGGCCTGAAGCAGGCCATACGTGTAAGCATCCCATGCAGGATCATGGGGAATCAGAGGTCCTTATAAGGAGCTTTGTATTTGGTGACCATCGTGGTTGTTAAACTAGGTGTGACTTTGGTTGAGGGTACCCGCGCTATTTTGTGGCTTTTGAAAGGGAAACCAACAGGAAACCAACCATTTTGTGGAATCCTCTTTAAAAAACACGCCCACCTATTTCGCTGTCATGTGCTGCTCGCTTGGTGAGCTTCCGATCCTTCCCAGCTTAAGCCGATCTCCGGCGGGGCCAAAGATGGGCAGCTCGCGTTTTGGCCCCGCGTGGTTTCTAAGAGGAAGCCATAAGGGAAACCAAAGCCAATTTGGTTGGTGTACCCTAAAAACAGACCTGGCCCATATGCCAATCCGTGAAGTCGAGAACGAAAGGCCATGAAGTCATTGGTCTGAGTCTGATCCAATTGCTTTCCGAGACGAGTGCGCATGTTCGGCCTTGAAAGTAGGTCCATCCCTCAAGTTTGTACCCTTTACCTTGGGGTTCTAACAACCATTGAAGAACAACGGTTGGGTTCATATGACCACCATTTATTGTTCAGGATTGTCATCATCCAAATTGGATCCTTGCCATATTTTAATTGATGGGAGTTGAACCCTATAGGGTTTACATACTGAAGATCTAGTTGGCTTCTACAACGGCACAGGTACGTTGAACATGACAGGAGTTTTGCGCTTGTTTGGTGTGGGGGGGGGGGGGCCTCAAAAAAGGGCTGAGGCTGGGGGCAAGGCTGGCGCTGGGGAACAAACACCAATAGATGAGGCATCTTGAGGCATTGGCCTTAGCACCACTCCAGGCCAAATGACTACGAGCTGCTGCTGCGACTTGACAAGGCGAGTCCTTTAGACTCGGATTCGTGGGTTTGGGCTGCATCTCCCATGCTTTGTACTCTACCGGAAGTCCCGGACAGCCGGGGCAAAGAGGTCCTTTTTCTTTGTTTCGAGGGGGCGGATTTGTTTGAAGAGCAAAGACCAAAGAAAGAGTGCCGAGTCTGTTTCTTTTCTGTGGAACTCCGCTGGGGGTGTGTTGTTAGTACTGTTTTTGGTGGTTTCATTCCGAAGTCCCTCCCGTTCGTGTTGCTTATAGTTTTTGTGTGTTGGCTTCCTCTGAAGTCCTCCCCTTGCACTCTTGCAGCGGCAGATTCCAGATGCGCTTTGAACTTTGGTGCTGTTTCGTACTGTTTTGTAGCCAAAACCAGGATTTCCCACGCAACTTTCCCATGTGCTCTTGTGTTTGTTCCCGGAACGAGTCGCACATTGTTAGTGGTCCTGTGTTGCGTTCGACCCGCGGTGATCAACTTGAGCAATGCAATCTCAACGACATAGACCTCACAGGGGGCAGGAACTTGGCCCGGAATGTCGTGTGATTTTGGACTTCCCTTTTTTGCAATGCAACAGCGTCGTTGGAGGCGCAGAGCACATAGAGATCTGTTCCCCCCTTTCCCTGTTGAGATCCTTTCCCCCCTTTCCCCCCTTGGTAGGGGCTTCAAGTGCTCTGAAACTCAACACGGAGACCTCGAACAACAAGAACAGTTGGAGGCATCTCCTTTGCTTTGAGCCACCTGGGGCAAGTCCTTGTGATCGTGAGGAGAAGTACGTTTCTGAGGCACCAAAAGCTTGAAATACGCACGGCGTCAAGCCGCCAATTTGCCAACCGAAGATGGCCACCCGAATCTACCGGGACTCAGGGGAAAACCGGATGGGTTCCCTTTAAACAACTGGCTTACTTGGGTGTTCGCCGAAGTTGGTAATTTGTTTGTAACCTAAGCTATGAGGCTATGAGCTTATAAGTCACCCGTTCCGTAGAGATCACCTTGTTATTGGGTCATGCCCCAGGTGGCCGACCACTTACTAACTTGGTCGAGCATCCAAGTAGTCTTGCTGGTGCTCAGCAGGGAATGAGAAATGGAATGACCCTTATAAACTATCCAACCGGTGGTTTCCTGGGGGACCAATTCCTGGGTTCATTCAACCACATTCCCTACCTATCGCACCAGCAAGACTACTTGGATGTTCGACCAAGTTAGGAAGTGGTTGGCCACCTGGGGTATGACCCAGCAATAACCAGGTAGTTGCACGTTGTGTCCCATTCGGTTTGGGGGTAGAAACCAAACGGGAGGCTTCTGGGGGGCGTTTTCAGTCGTGACGCTCGTGTATCAGGGAGTGGCTTGAAAGACCAGCCTGAGTTGGCCCGCGAAAAAGGGAAGCCAAAGGGAGCTTGAAAAACACGCAAGTTTCAGGGCCTCAACGCTTTTCACGGGGGTGTGGCGAATTTGAAGAACAAAAGGAAGTCGCTATCATGAAGGAAGAATGTGTGTAGTTGTTTAGCCCTCTTACTTTAAACACGTTTGCAGTGGTTGGGCCATACCTGATTCTGCCTGACGTTGCCTCGTGTGGAGGCAGTCGCGCAGCCTGTGGCCAGCAGTGCAAGCATCGAGGCAGTGTGGTTTTTTGGGCGACAGGCAGAGGTTCCATTTCCTCACTTCCCAATTCCTGGACTTTATACTTTTTGGGAAGACCAATTTTAGTGGCCATCAAAGAGTTCAAACTTTTATTTGGCCCATCCACTGGGGAAGTGAGTTTCAGCACCCAACTCCGATTCCTATTCTACTACTTGCTGCAAGGCTGTGGACGATCTCCAGCTGGAATGGATGAAACCCGATTTGCATACTGCAACAGACCAGCTGCCAGCCAGCTGGTGCGCCGTGGATGTCCACGGTTGTTTTGGGGGGCTATGATAAAGCCTGCGGTACAACTGTGGCAGTGCCAAAGGTTGAATTCTAAGCATGGGGGCCGAGGGAGGGAGCCCTCCCGGAGCCCTCTAAAGCTTAGACTCACTTCCTCACTTCCTGAGTTCATGAACTTTAATCTTTTTGGGAGACCATTTTAGTGGGAAATATAAAGTTTGAACTTTTTTTGGGCCATCCACTCAGCCAGCGAGCTTCAGGGGCAAAGGCTTGGAACCCGGTTGCAGTGGATTGGCACTTGGGGCAATCGATTCGGTACGTCAGCTATAGTGAAGCCTGGTGAGATAACATGCTGAACGGAGACTTATAACCATGGTAAGTGGGTTGCCAGGCTTACGACCCACTTACTCATCTAAGTACCCGGGATCTTTAAGTGTGGCTCACGGTCCACAAAAGGCAGAATGTAAAGCGCACAACCCGCGTGGGCACCGTGAAAACAGCAGGCTCGGCTCCAAGATGCGTATCTGGAATGATACCGAGTAAAGAAAAAAACGAAAACGGAAAGGGGACTCGAAAAGGCATGCCCAAATGTTCAAGCCGCAACCCATTCAAATTGTGTAGGCCCTTATATCGAATATTAGCCACCGAATTCTAATTGTGCTGGGCCCTTATGTTGGATAGTCGCCTTCTCCTTGTTTAGGCCCTGCGAGATGTTGATATTGGGTCCTTTTGATTTTCTTTTGGCACCACATTTCTACCTTTGTGACGATCGGGTTGAATTGAAGTAAAGTTTTTATGCATGGCGATTCAGATTGCCCATACGTCCCATCCTCTTTGAGGAACAAGAGAGGCGCATTTCGGGGTCAAAGAGGGCATGGAGGAATCTGTTCAAAGGCGGGTGGTTTGAAAAAAAGTACCAGCCATAAGTCCTTCCGAAAAAAAAGTGACCTGATTTTCCTTGGTTTCCAGCCATCTGGTCCTGCAATGGACCCCTTGTTTCTACCTTTGACCCATAAAACGTGGTGGGCCGAAAAAAGGAGGTCCATTAAGGGTGCAGTTAGTTAACCCCGGGATGTAGTTCAAACACCCGGAGCTTTTTCCACGTTGCTTCACTTGTGGCAAAAACCGGGAAATCCCCGCGCTGGTGTTTAGGCTGCACCCTGGGATTCAGTTGCCGGCCACCATTAAACTTTATGGCAGGGGTAGACTCCGGATATTTGTTTTGCATTTTATCAGTGTGTCAATTTGAAGCAACCAATAAAATATACATCCGAAACTGGGCCTAACTCTAGTCATGAACAAAGTGGGTGGATTCATATTTCACCCTTGTTTACCATTCAGGATTGTCATCATCCAAATTGGGCGCTTGCCATTACAGTATGTTAATGGGGGCAAGGAACCCTAGGGCGAAGAACTACAAATCTTAGGCCCCTCATTGGTGGTTTGGATTCGTGTTTTAGATTTTAAATTAGACCCCTGCTTCTTGTTGAGGGTAAATCGGAAGCCCCTCTCCAATCACCAAATAACCGTTTTAAACCAAAACGCCTATAATCATGACTCGGTTTGGCTTTGAAGTGCACAATCCCATTCCCATTTTGCAAGGGCGCTTGCAGTAGCCTTGTTGATTACATTCACCAACGGACCTGAGCCAACTGCAGCATCGCGTTTGGGCGTGCGTACAAAGCCTGGTTATTCAATATTTGTCTCGAATCCCCGCAAACATATCTTTTCTTCTTGCTGTGGGAGCTTGAGCCTTGAGCTGTTTGGGAGTTGGGGCAAGGTGTATTTTTTGCGAAGGGGGCACGCCACCACAGGTCTGTCCACGGGTCTGTCCACACCGGTAACCCCCGGCCGTAGGCGCTTCCCAGCATTCGCGCAGCTGACTTCAAGGGTGGCGAGCTGAGTTTCTCGCATCGAGACGGCGACGGCGCGACGTGAGGGGCTGCCTGTGCTTTGCCACCGCACCCGTTTCAGGTCCCTGGATGAACAGGGCTTCTTAAAAGATACATCTTGCAACCAGTTGAAACATGGCTTTTTCCACCGAAATAAAGGGACACCACCATTTACAAGGTAATGTTCAGGTGTATAATGTAAGGATCCCTGATGAATGATTGGATGCTCCAGAGCAAGGTGAGTCTACACTTTTGGTCAGCCTGAAAAAACATGTCGACTCCGACGGGCTGGCTTCTCGTTGCTTGAACTATGTTTGATTGGATGCAGCAGAGAAGGTTAGGCTACACTTTTGGCCACATCCTTGGAAAACGGGCTGTCCCCCTTAAGTAGGGCTCCGTATATGTCGTTTGGGTGGATTTCAACATTTGGGCCGTGTGGGTTTCCTGTGTTTCGAGGGGAAAAGAGAGTCGCTAGGAGGGGGTCCTCGAGACACGCTCCCAGCCAGCCTTGGTGAGAGTACTGTATCCCTTTCAAGTGCAACCCTGTTGCCCAGATTTCGTTGTTCTTGTTTTTTAACGTGTTTGACATGTGTTTTAAGTCTCACTTCCTGAGTTCATGAACTTTAATCTTTTTGGGAAGACCATTTTAGTGGCAAATATAAAGTTTGAGCTTTTTCTGGGCCATCCACTCAGCAAGCGAGAAGTTGTTGAGGTGTTGTCTTGTTTCTTGTTTTTTCGGCTTGAACCTTAAAATGGGGAAGGTACCCCCCTAGCATCCAAGCCGCCAGACCCACCCGCCGATTTGGCGCAAGGCGCCCCCGTTTTTTGCTTTGTTTAAGTCATCTAAGAGCGAGCGGCCGGGTTTTGCACGTGGCCGAGAAGGCTATGTGGGTGCAAATGTCGAAGGGGCAAACAGGTAAATGGCTCGATGGTGAGCACAGGCGTCAGACCCAGGCGAGAGGGCTCCTACGTTGGGGGGAGTCCGTTTGAGACTTTTCATGATGCCCATTCATGGTAATTAAGACAGGGCTCCTTAAAAGATACATCTTGCAACCAGTTGAAACATGCATTTTCAACACCAAAATAAAGGGAAACCACCATTTGCAAGGCAATGTTCAGGTGTATAATGTAAGGATCCCTGTAAGAGTTTTTTGCAGAATCCGTACTTGCACCAGGAAGGAGCTGTTGGTTTGTGCACTGCCTGTTGGGCAAGCATGACAGGCAATATGCGTTCTGCAGGACCATCACATGTATGGGATTGATCGGTCACTCATGCCTGTAGTATCTATGGGTTCTCCATTTTGACTGTAGGCCCCAAAAGGTTATCTGTCTATTTCCAGGTACTTGGGTTGCATCTGAGAAAAGACTCTGATATTGCAGCGGAGAGCCCCCCACTAGGAGTTAATGGACGCACACCTCAAGCAGTAGCAGTTCCATTGGTTGACTGTTGGGACGACCTACTACTACTGCTACTGCTACTGCTACTGCTACTGCTACTGCTACTGCTACTGCTCCTACTGCTACTACTACTACTACTAGTACTAACTACTACTACTGCTACTACTACTACTACTACTACTACTACTACTACCACTACCACCACCACCACCACCACCACCACCACCACCACCACCACCACCACCACTACTACTACTACTAGGTAGTGCTACTACCACTACCTATTCCCTTCACCATCTCCATCACTATTACTACTACTGCCACCTACGGGGCTGCTATCCCTACAGTCAGGCTTAAAGTATTCAGTAAGACCACCACCAGCAGTCCTGCTATTGATCATGCCCGGGGAATCTTTGCGCATGAGGCCGGGATTGCTCCATCTGCCTGGCGCCATTTCAGGCCCCCGTTGGAACAGGTTTCGGTTGGACAGGTTCCGGGCGCCAAGACTAGGGGGTCGCCCCATTTCGGGAGAAGCTTCTTTGGCCTCACCACACATCGCAAGGGACCGCTAGCGTAACCCAATATTTGGGGGGGGGGGGTTGTCAACAATACGGACCCTACGGTTCAACTTCCATTACTGGCCTTGGGCCCCAATTTTGATGACAATCCTGAACGGTAAAGAACCGTGATTGTATTAACCGCCATTGCTTTCATGGCCTGCATGAGGCGGTTCCTGTTTGGACCTTACCACAAAAGGCCACCACTCAATTTGTTTCAAACTTTACGCGGAGACAGTGCGCCTGCTTGCACCAGACTGTTTGGCTTGGAGTCTTCGGAAGATGGCAGTTCGCATTTTGTGTTTGCGCAGGTCTTTGAACTTACTGCTTGCCTTGGTGGCTCCCAGCCATCCCCTTAGCATTTTAGCTTTTAGCGTGTGGTAGGGATTTCCATTTGGCCGACTAAAAGTCAAACTTTTAGCGCGGCATCTGAGGACAGGCCGGTTGCGATACCTTTGCAACAAGCCGGGCCAAACGAGCCAAGTCTCTTTTAGCAGCCAACTGCATAGAAATATGGAGCATACCAATGTTTCAAGCTTTGAAACCAACCCGCTATGAGCTTTCTTATTGCCGTGCTTTGCGGTCACGCAAATCAGGTCTCGGCGGCTTTTGGCGGCACCCCCGCGTCAAGTCGATTCGCTTGATGCAGCGATCTGCTGGCCCAAGGGCCTCAGAGGCAAATGGATCCATGGCTCGGCAAAGCATGGCACTCTGCGGGTGTTTTGGCGCGGGGATCGATGTCCAAAAGATTGCATGAGTCGGATGCTTTGCAAACTCGTAACCGGGCAGATTTCGCCCGCGGCATTCAACCAAAAAAACCAACCAAACGCGGCAGATTTCGCCCAAAGCGGCAGATTTCCCTTTCAGCTCAACCAACCAAAAAAAGGATGCGGATCCACTGGGACTCAAAGCTTCTTGCCTGGGCGACTCGCCATCTCCCTGGGAGTGTGCCCGCACGCCCATTTTTTTTGTGTGGCCAGGAAGACAGTGATGTGGCGGCGATGCAATGCAAGCATCAGTTTCATCGCGGCTGCATTTCCAGGCGCCTGCGCGCGCAAAAGCCGGCGGGATTCACCTCTCAAATGACATGGCTTGTTAAGACGCCAAGGTTCAAAGAAATGGGCATAGCTGATTTGTAATTAGTATTGGTAGTTTGGTCGGAATGCGCCTTTCGAAGTGTCCTTGATTGAAATCTTCACAGTCTTGACATGTCATTGGCTGGCACAATCTAATAAAGCGCTCTTTGCCTGGCGAAGCCTCTTTGTAAGGATATTCTACGGTCGGCTTGGTAAGTAGCAGAAACCTGAATGGCCAAAGGGAACCCTGAAATTTTGCTTGGTGCCGAACTGATTCCCCACCTGACAGGTTTGGGTTTCTTAGATTTTAGGTTTAGACAAGAGCATTTCTTAGGTGGGGATTGTTTGAAGCAAAGTACGTGGTTTGTTTCGTTCCCCACCCCCCCTCTCCCCCAAGCCAATCCTAAACCTTTCCGTCCATTTTACCTTTGGTTGCCCAAGAGTGAGTGGGACTTGCAGGATATGCGGGGCACTTGCAAAGAAAGGGAAAGCCAACCGGAGGTTCTTGGAATCAGGGAAGTGTGGTACGGCATTTTCCGTGCTCAATGTGTAAGTTGGTACTTGTGTCGTTCTGTTACTGTGCATGATCCACGGCAGGCACCACCAGTTGGTATGCTGTTTATCCCAACTGGTGCGAAGTAAAGTCTGTCCATCGGCAGGCACCACCAGTTGGTAGGCTGTTTATCCCAACTGAAGTTTGTCCATCCACTGTGTCACCGTAGCCCCTAATAAATTGGCGGTTCACCCACCCCATGACCCATGCAGTCTGTTGATCGTGTTTGCGGCTTCATGAACTACATTTTGCCTACACTACATGACAGTTGTGTATCGTCCAGCGAAGTGCCTACCTGTTGCGCTATGGCAGCTAAGGACAGGATCAGGCCACCTCTTTACTGAAACCCAACAAATTTTGGGATGAATCAGCTACCCAATGGATTTTGTCCGTTACCCATGTTCGATGTCTGGCTTGGGAGACGCTGCGATTCTCGCTCGGTGAGCTGAATGAATCAGGTTGGTATGGGTCAAAATTACACCACCAGGAATTCGACCTTTTTGGTTTTAGTCTACTCACTCCCCGAGTTCATGGACTTTATACTTTTTGGGAAGACCATTTTGGTCATTGGTGGTAGACAAACAGTTCAGACGTTTTTTTGTCCCATCCACTCAGGAAGTGAGCCCATGCTGCATGCTTCTATTTTTCAGGGCGAACCATTTTGGGGGGTACCCGATGGTTGACCCGCCAGGTGGCTCTCCGAGTGCCGGAAGACTTGCCCGCTCTGCGGGAAGGAGGCCGCCTGAGCTTCGAGTCAACGCGGGGAACCTCAGCGGGATCCGACTCAGCCGTTTGGAGTCCGGTCGGGAGGCGGGGCTTTTTTTTCACGTGAGCTATGTCAATGTGGCTGTGGGTGTCAAAGCCGTTTTGGGATTCCATTTTGGTTGGTAGGTGAATTCACCACCCATTCTAGAACCTATTTTAGTGGGTCAAAACCAATGGGATCCCATTTTGGGGTAGGCGCACCACCCAGTCTGGAACCTATTTGAGTGGTTTGATTCGGATGTCCACGGAGGATACCTGCTTTTGACCCATGGCCATGTGAGCTTCAGGATTGGACCTTTGAACCTTTGAAAATTAATGTAATATTTTAGGGGCAGACTCACTATGGACCACAATCTGCAGACATTTCACTAAAGTAGTAAAAGATACGGTTGTCTCACTGGCTTCCCTTTAGCCGGCAGAAGACAGAAACCCAAATTGAGCCACAATCAAAACCCCGGGTAGATGGAGGTTAAGTAAGGGGGAGTCCCAGCCAGAAATCGTTGCAGCCGCCTGCTTAATTCTTGAAGCATGGTTCCGGGATTTCGACCACTTTAACATGTTTGTTGTTGGGACAAATTTTCATTTTTGCTTATTGTGGACTAGTGGGAAATCCCCACTTAAGTGCTATTTATTTTTTTTGCTCCCCTTCCAACGTCAGCAAAGTTAATTTCGGTTTTTGATTGTGACCCAAATGGCCAGAAGACTCCCCAAGTGATCGATACCAGAGACCCGAGGCCTCCCAGCAGTCTAGTCAGCGCTTCTTTTCCCAGTGGCCCCTCTGCTCAGGTCAGGTGGGCCTGTTTCACAGAGGCAGGGGTCACGCAAATACGCGAATACGCGAATATGCGAATGAAGGATGAATTGCTTGACCAACCTGCTTAGGGCAAACGAAGGATTAGGATTACTCGTTGGCCCGACCTTGTTCCAAAGTTGTGTTCCTTCCCACGGCTTTCTGCTAGATCGCCGCCCTTCCTGCCCGCCAAAGATCTTCAAGAGGTGAGTTGTCTCGTTGGGAGAACGAACCTGTCTAAGGAACGAGAATATAGAAAGGAAATAGAAAGGAGACAGCTTTCCTAAGAGCTATACCTCGCTTCTTTATTTGACATAACTTCATTCTTGGAAGGTAAGGTGTGATGGAGAAAGTAAACAAACTGTAACTCTTCTTAACCGCTACCTGGAGTCTCCGTGACCCTTTAAAAATGGGTCAATGACCATTATTTGGGGTAATGACCCCATTTTTGAAGGGTCATGGAGACTCCAGGTATCTGTAAGAGTCATAGCGCTTTTTCGATGCTCCCACCTTGAAGCAGGCACCGGACCTGGATGGAGCACAGCTGGAAGTGGGGCTTCGGCACTCGAACCCCGCAGCAAAATATATTTTTGGATCGCTCCAAGGGGTACACGAATCCAAGAAGGGGCCATGGTTGTCCCAGGACTTAATTCTGCCCCAAGAATTATCATATCTAGCCCCTCCCCTTACAGATGTTGATTTGTTAATGCAGAGGCGGGAAGTTGTCAAGAGGCAGACGGCGAACGATGTGGGTTTGGTTTTGGGAATGCAGCAGTGGCTTTAGGATGCTTAATCCTACGAATTGGACTGTGTTGATACGGGATCCCGCCACGGTGGATTTCTGTGAGTTCAAGTTTTGGAATTATCGAATGACGGAATGCATCCTTTAGGTCGATAGACGTTGCTATTAAATAGTGGGTGGCGTGGCAGAGTACTCCCAGGTAATTATTTGCAGAGTGTTGTTTGCCCGAAAATCGCGCTAGACTGCCCCCAATTTCGAGTTGGTTGGGTCTCACTCTGCGCGCAAATGATGGGGCTGCTGGGGATGCTAGTGCTGGTGTGGTAATGCCAATGCTGGGGGTTCTATTTAATTTGGTCTCAGACTTAGGGGATCCTCAATATGGCAACGGCTTTGTTTTGGTTTCCCTTTTTACAGCCCAGAAGGAGGTTCCCCGAAAAAGTGACCAGGCACCCATTTGTGAATGGTGACTGTAGCTATTATTATAAGTATATAATTAATAGTTTCGAGTATTTGTTGTTTTTTGAATTGGTTTTAATTGTTTGATGTTTCTTATTTGAGCGGGGCTTTCAGCGGCAATTCGGTTTCGCGTGCTGTGCGTAGCTGGTTGGCGTCACTTGTGAAATCTGGACCATTCCAGCGGCGAACAAACAGTTGGAACTTTTTTGGGCCAATCCACTCAGGAAGTAAGAATATGTGTATTTCCCCTGTTGGTTTCAAAGGGAGTGTATCACAGCTGGAAATATGTTCTCCAGGAGATGTATTCCTAAATGCAACATTCGCAGTTGGGTTTGCAACATGTTGTTTTTACTGGTAGACAGCTGGGTTGATGCATTGCTTGTGGGCAAGTGTTTCCACATTTTGCTTTGCACAAAGAACACTTGCGGCTCATTCTGCAGTTTGCTGCTCTGGTGCGCTGGCTCGGTTTGCGGGCGTGTTGACAGGCGTGTTGAACCACGAGGAAGGCTTGGATGTTAGCAAACGTCAGGTAAATGGGTTATATCCGAGCAACCGTGTTTACTGGGAGAACTGTGGTTGGTTCCCTCCCCATGGTTATAACCCACTTACCTGACGTTGGTTGACCATCAAGTGCAGACTGTTGGCACGCGTTAACCACGCTGACGCCGATGGTGTTCCTGGAGCTGACGTTGGCCGTGCCAGTGGTGCGCCTCCGTCAGAACGTTCTTCCACCGTGGCGGCGCGGCCTGTGTGGCCAGAAGAGTCCTGTCGTGAGCGAATCCTTGCTGCTGGCAGACACGTTGCCGGCGACGCCGGTGCTGGTGGTAGCGTCGATGGTGAGTGCACGCGCCCGTCACTTCGACACTATTCCCGGTGCTGAATTTCAGGTTGGATCTCAGGATTATTGCTTGAACAACTGAGGCTTGCTGCTGTCAGCACACTTGCTGCATGCTTGAAAAGTTCCGTTCGTGGTGGCACGTGCCTGCCCGAATCGCGGAGCGGCGGAGCGTATTCTCCACCGACGCTTGGAGGCGCAAGTTACTTGGAAAGCGGGTAGGCCTGACCATGCATGGTTCTGACCCACTTCGGGGCCATAGGGGCAAGCTGTAATTGGCGACGACCCGCTTTCTAAGTAACCTGGCCTTTGAAGTGTATCTTGGGGTGGGCCACCATCAGCTTTGCAGCCTCTGATCTGCCGCGATTCAAGGACGAGTTCACGGCAGCACATGCGTTCAGATCTTTGAAACGATGCGATTGTCCTTTCGTCTGCAGCATGTTGCAACCATCAGTTGGGGGGGGTCCTGCGCGCAAAACAGATCCATACAAGGGAACTGATGGCAGGTCAATGGGCCTCGCAGCATGCTTCAGCCATCGAACAGTCATTTGCTGGAGGCACGGTTTTGGATAATGGGTGTGTTTCAGTTTTAATAAACCCCTCTGGTTGTTTTCGTTTCATCGACCTTCAGCTTGTTTGGGGAAGTAATTGTTTCCTCAGGTGGCAAAGACCTTGGGACACCACACGCAGGGTCAGTTCGAAGACGGCTCAGAAGGAATCCTGCCATCTCGTGCTTTGGAGGGTGGTGAAACCCCTGGCGAAGCGCGGTCAAACCCTGGTGTGTGGAAACCATCAATTTGAGTGTTCCCCTAGTTTGAGACAAAGCCTGGCACTGTACTTGTTGCTTCTTGGGGGTTTTTCGGGTTCGGATTTCTACTGGCCGGGCTTTGAACCATGATCTTTACGAGTCATTGGAGAATCAATGGCCGAATAGGTGAGCTGGAATTGTCAAAACGCGTTTTTGTGTCGCAAAGATCCGCCTACACTTCCGTGCAAACCAATCTCTTCCTCATGGGGGCTGGGGGAGAGGGAGGGAAGGGGGGAGGGAACCCAAATAAGCCCTTATTAAGCCCTTAATAAGGCCTTATTTAGGTGCTATTTGGGCTCCCTCCCCCCTCCCTCCCCCCTGCCTCCATCCCTTCCCCTCCCTCCCTCCCCTACAATGATTGACCCAAACAGCTAGCCCCAGGGGTTGAATGGGATACACAGAGGCTAGCCGGCTAGCCACTATACAAGTGGTATATTCCCATTAAACCCCTACACTTGTAGCTTTGGTTTGGGGGTGGGATCATCTTAAGCCTTGCAGCCACCAAAAGATGTTCTGTGCTCGGGGTGTTTTTCCTAGAGGTGTCCTTTGGAGAGGGTATCTGGAAAAGCGGTCGCAGCATCGGTGAAGAATGTATGAACCCCACACCTCCACCGAGTTGCTTCCTGTTTCCCTTTTTTGAAGAGGTTTGTTTAACATCAACTAGCGAAAACAAAATTGCCGAATATTTTTACCCATGGCCACTGTGAGTCTGGGAAACTCAGGGTGCATACCATTCATGATACGAAAGAAGCGCTTGAAAAGATGCTGGATTCACCATCATGCTCCGCCACGCTCGCCTGAGTGAGGCGGGCATAATCAGTCTAAAAAGTCATTTTCTGTGTACCCTCTTTTTGTACCGAGGGTTTGGCAGACCTTTGTTTCTCCTGCGCATGGTATCTTAGCCACAAAGCACCCTGTTTGCAGCGGTGCGGTTAGATATTTGTTCGCCCCCCTTGTTGCAGAACTCTGTACACCTTCCCCACTCAACCCGTTTAAACATTACCTTTCGCGCCACTTTTGGATAAGTGTCCTCTTGCTGAGGTGATGTTTGAGAGGGAAACATAGGGAGCCCGGGTTTGGAGAAATGAAAGGCCTCAAAGAGAGTGCCAAATTCTAAGCACTTAAGTCACTTGAAAATGCTCAAGGATTGTTTGGGGCGTCGGGTTGGATAAACCCTGGTCTTGCTGAAGGTTGCTCGAGCTCTTTCACCTCTTCATCCCTGTCGGATGCCCCAGTTGCGCTTTCTCGTGCACTTCACCCGTCAGGCGCTTCCATTTTAGGGGTAGGTCGAAGGGAAACCGATAAGCCACCGATTGAACGGATCTCAACCGATTTAAGACCACGAGCCAGACCGCTCCGCAACAACTATGGTAAGCTCGGGCCAGCTCGGGCCCCATGATCCGCGAAATAAACGAACACAAGATGTGTCATTTCCCCACTGCACGGATGAGTGTTTGCCGGGACAATCATAATATGTTAAAACCACAGGCCAAGCTGGGAGTTGCGTAACCATGATACTGTTGGACAGGGGCAGAAAGAGAGCGAGAGAGCGTCAGAGATGAAGACGCACCCCACGCAGCGGCAGTGACCATTGAATGAGACGTGCGTTTGGTTTGCATTCATCATGTGTTGGTAGAAGGTGTGGCAACCAAGAACGATACTTGTTGTGTTCGCCTATGATCTAAGTTGGAAGTGCACATTGTCTCCGATGTGGTGTGGGTGTACCTAAGAACAGAAGACCTGAGGTAGCTGGTTTCATGTTGAGTGCCTTTTGTTCAGGCACACACCCCGTTAAGGACGTCAGGCAACCTGTGGTACGGAGGCTGGTCCGGGTCAGCCGCTGCCTTGAGTCAACCATTCCAACCGCTCAGTGAACCAGTGGCGGAATCTTCCCGATGGTCTTGCTCCGATTGGTTGGTGGAATGACCACAAAGCAAAGACAAACACCAGAGGAAGAGAGATGGTACGTATGAGGGTGGAAGCAGATGGCACAATGGCTCCCATGTGGGGTAGACGTGGGATACATCTTACATTTTACCAATGACTCAAAGTGAATATACATTCTAAAGAGAATCTGGGCCCAACTCTAGTCATGCCATGTTGGTTTGTTCATCCCTCTTACTAACAGAAAGGGACCCTCGCTGAACCACCACACACGATGTTACATTGCAGGAGTTCCGCCATCCGGACGGGGTGTGTTTGTATTGAGGGTGCGCTATGTGCCTTGGTGAAAGGGAAGCCGAATGGAATCTTTGGTGCATTTTGCTTGGATGTCACGACTTTAACCTTTTGCCAACTAGCGGGTTTTTCATTAACCACTGAAATTTAAAATAGCGGGGGAGCACAAAGCAACCGAGGAACCCCGGCCATGTTCAAACTTGGTGGTTCCGAGCCATCCGGTTGCTTAGCCTTTTAGCCTTTCAGTGTTTAGTTGCAGTTCCATTTCACTAAAAGTTAGTCACTTCTAGCTGGGGATCAGAACTCGGGCCCAGTAAATTGGGGCATCCGGCGCTCGCAGATCCGCAGCTCCAAGTTTTGAGGTGCGAAGCAGGAGCGCTGGGTGCTGGCCACAGGCGACTAAACCTGCAAGTGGCCTTTTACAGTCCATGGGTTGAATGCAATGGTCGTCCTTCGTTCAACCGGACTTTCATTTCTTTGGTGCATTTTGCCAAGGGCTGTTAGGACTGAACGACTTTTTGCCAACTAATGAATTTGTTTTCCGTACTAAACCACTAAAAGTTAAAAACTGTTAGCAGGGGAGCAGAAAGCAACCGAGTTTCATTTGCTGAAGTTGTTTTTGTTTATTTGTTTAGTTTCCCTTGTTGGTTTCAAAGGAGTTTATCACTACTGGAAATATTTGTATTTTTTTTCCCAGGGGTCTTAGGCAAATGGAAGCTGAGGGGGAGGTTCCCTTCACAAAACAACTACCAAAAAAGATTCGGTGCCGAATTGTTTCTAGTTTCTATGGAAATCCACTGAGGCGGCGTGCCGTGCGATCTCTTCTAAACGGCTACCCCAACAGACCAGAACGGTTCATGAAGGACTTCATTATCTCAATGCGAGTAAATCCTGTTTGCGCCATGACTTGACTTGAAGGCTCAATCCTTTTGGTACCTGACAAAAGGCTAGTGGCCGTTCTCGAGAACAGTGTTTTTTTCAGGGTTCTCTATATTTCCCTGTGGTTTTAAACATCACCTTTCGGGACTCTGTGTGTGTGTGTTTGTGCGAGTTTGCTCTTGGCGTGATGCTGAAATAAGAAATATAGGGAGCGCTGTTTGTTTCCCTTTCAACTGATCATTTAGGCAATAACTTTCATAAGTGCAAGACCGGGCCAGTTGCAGTTCCCATTCATCCCGTGGTGGACATAAATCCATAGCAGAAGGCGCTAAGTACAAAAAACACATTATCCCCTGATCATCAGGTGACTTGGTAGAATAGTACCACAGAAACCCATTTTAATTATTTAGGCCCTTAAAGTACCCATGTGTGTCTTCAACTTCGCAAACTTTAGGCGCCCAATGGTTTCCCTTTAAAGCAATCCCACAAAGGTACTCCAAAAAGACACACCGGTGTCTCTGTTGGACAAGCCCCAAAAAACACGATAGGCATAACATAAACCTTTCCTAGGATTCAAAGTCAGGGTCTGCAAATGTGCCGATCTTTGCTTCAGACCCCTTGTGACAGAATGCAATATCATTGCGTCCAGCAACAGACTTACTCTTTTGTGAACCTTACATTACCTGAGGCGATGCCAAATAAAATGTTTCAACTGGGTCAGCTATTGGGGGACGCGCCGCATCGTGGGATCTTTGCTCTTCACTCCTACAAATTAAACAATCAGACGCATCCCATGGGGGACCGCTTGTTGAATTCCACGTGAATTTTGCGGGGGAGTAGTATCCGGGGCTCACCATTTCCCTACATGTTTGCCCTATGATCATGACGTTGTGGCTTGAAAGTAGCCTACATCCCCGTTCTAATGATTTTCGCCCCTTGAGATGGAATCAGCAAAGTTTGTAGCACATTGACTCAATCTTGGGTGCATTTTGCTTGGCTGTTAGGACTTTAACTTTTTGCCAATTAATGGGTTTTCCGTTAAACCACTAAAAGTAAAACTTTTAGCAGGGGAGCAGAAAGCAACCAAGCAATGTAGCATTGACCAAGTCCAGGTGGGAGTTGTCGTCAGGTCGAACTCTTTGAAGGGCACCTTGTGGACGGTGCTGAGCTCAGCATGGGACCGGTTTGGGCAGAATCCTGGCAAGTGACTGAGCTGTGCACATGTAGCTTAATGTCGTCTTTCCAAAGCCGAGGCCTAGGTGAGACCACATACATACTGTGGATGGACGAAATCCTGCACCACCTGGGAAGCCATGAAATTATAGTTTGCCTGTACATACCAACCAGCAATGATTTCTTATGGTTTCAAAGCGGTGCAGGAATTTGTCCATCCACAGTATTCAAAGCAAGCAAGAACATTGTTGTCGCTGGGTTGTTCAAGTTCAATCCTTACTCCAAGGATGGTACTGGAATAGACTACCAACCATACTGTCAGTCTGACATTTTGAACATAGACGAACCCCTTATCCGAAGCAGTACTCCCGTGGTGGAATGCCGCAACAAGTTCGCAAGGGACCCAATTTGGATGACAATCCTGAAGGGTAAGCAATGGTGGTTAAATATTGTTATGATTACTAAAACCCTCATTGCTTTTATTACCCGCCCCGCCCCCCCCCCCCCCCGCCCCCACGCGCCATTGTTTCGTTACGCTTGTTGGTGAAACATTAACCCAGCCATTGTTATGGTTGTAGCTGCACCCCAGGGTTTGGTTTTGGGCGAGAAGGCGAAAGCTGCAGGGTCACGCGGAAATCTCCAATTGAAGGCTCGGGGCCGGGCACAAATTCATGTGGCGAAAGAAATGATGTGTTTTGCTTATGGCTCGTATGTTTGAGCCGACCAGTTGGCAACCAAAAGCCGGTAGGTGACTGTTCAAACACTCCCAGCAATCTGCAACACCGCTAGTGGCTCACTCAACACCGATACTCGGCAATGAATATAGTTAGCTGTCTCAAAATATTTGAATCCCATCCTGGGCTTCAAGCTTTTTGGGTAGAGCAGTTCAGTAAACGGAGACCTTGGCCAACCCGCTCAAGTGAGAACTAGGGGAACCAAATGAATTGGTTTTTCTACTCTGGCCTGCCTCGTTGGACTCAATCGGAACCATTCGGGCATGCCGACGTGGCTAAGGAGAATCTCGAAGAATTCGTGTCACATGGGACCTTCCAACTGCCAAATTAAATATGCTTGGGTGCCTTTTCTCATTCTCTGAGTTTCGCTTCGGACTTTAAGCTCTGGACAATATATTTGAGTGGCAACAAACAGTTATCACCACTTACCCTTTAGAAGTATCCATGTTGAGGGGGCCCCCAAAAAAGAAACAGCCACCCATAGTTTATCATTTTACCCTTCGGGAGTTTCATCTAAACTTATATCATATACCCATATACCCCAAAATACCCAAGTATACCCAAATATACCCATATACCCTTGCATTATACATACAAGTTACACGTCTCGTATTTTTTGCGGATGTTGGGGCTGTTTGTCCTCCCATGTCGAGGTTCCCGAGGGGTGACGAGGAGCCAGACAAAAAACTCGATCCCACCGAAACCAGAAACGGCCAACCCAGGGTGGGGGTGGGGGGGAGAATAAAGTAACCAGAATGGAGCACTGAAGCCGAAACAGTCAAACGGGCTCCAAAGAGATGTTGTTGACATGGAAAAACTGGGTTCGAGTCTGTGGCGAACAAAAAGAAGTGAACATGTTTAACGACCCGCCAAGGCGTCCGCGCAATTCGCGGCCATTTTTGCCGCGGCCTCGTGCCGTTTTGTCGCAGTGGTTTTGGTGGCCGGTCCCAGTTCCCGTCCACTGGCAGCCTGTTTTCAGTTCTTCCATTTGCTGAAATGTGTTGTTTTTTCACTTGTTGGTTTTTAAAGGAATTTATCACTACTGGAAATATCTTGATTTTTTTCCAGGCAGGTTTCAGGTGGAACTGAGCAGAGGAGTGGTGGGCAACCCGACAACCATCTTCAACGTGGGGCCCATGAGTTGGTCGCAAGTGAGTCCTTGAGCAGGCGCGGTGCTTTGGGTCACCAACAGCTTTGGGCTTCCTTAAGGAAGGTTCCTTTCTTGGTCCTTACCGGATGGAAATCTTCCGACGGATCCACCCAAATGGAAATTAAGAGGGAGGCATTACGCGCATTGTACCGCTGTGATTGGAAACCAGCACAGGGCCTAGAAAGCTTTGCCTGGTATGTGTGTGTGTGTGTGCGTGTGCGTGTGCGTGTGGGTGTGGGTGTGGGTGTGTGTGTGTGTGTTTGTGTTTGTGTTTGTGTTTGTGTTTGTGTTTGTGCTTGTGTTTGTGTTTGTGTTTGTGTTTGTGTTTGTGTTTGCGTTTGTGTTTGCGTTTGCGTTTGCGTTTGCGTTTGCGTTTGTGTTTGGGTTTGTGTTTGTGTTTGTGTTTGTGTTTGTGTTTGTGTTTGTGTTTGTCTTTGTGTGTGTGTGTTTGTGTGTGTGTTTGTGTGTGTTTGTGTGTGTTTGTGTGTGTTTGTGTGTGTTTGTGTGTGTTTGTGTGCCCTGGGGTTCAACCCCCTTTAAAACAAAGGGGGTTAGGACTCGACCTTTGTTTTGCTTTGCTCGACCTTTGTTTGTATAGGGGCTTGGTGTAAAGCCTCGTTTAAGCAACATGGCCATATGGACATGGCCCTTTGGACTAAGATATTAGATAATACGCTGATCAGTTGTGAAGTTGAACCATGGAGTCGTTTGTTCAGCAGCTCAGCCAGCAATGACGGCTGAGACAGATCATGTGAATTTGCTGGGGGCCAAGCATCCCAGCGTGACATAATCGTGATGTTTAGAATTTGTATGATTGACATTGATGAAGCGTGCCAGCTTTCCAGCTTTAAAAGCTACAGGATGCAACGTTGGTACACAGCGTGGTTTTCTATGATATATGGGTGTCGGAGGCGCCCTATGGCTGGAGGCACGCAGGACTTTCTGAGCTAAACAGTTTCCTTCGCCGGGAGGGCGATTCTGGTGCTCATCTCACGCTACATTTCGTTCCGATGGCTGCGATGATTAGATTGCTGATCGTGCTTGCTAGCTGCGTTGACTGTGCGTGTAATTCATGACAATTGGATCTAGAGAGCTCCTGCTTGCTGTTGATGCCCCATGTAGCCAGAAGGCATCAGAAGGCCAAGTGTGCGTGCGCAGGCTGGGTGACCCTCAATTAGTTGGCTATGCGGCCCGCCCGTGAATTTGCATTTGACTATTCTTTATGAACATGATCATATGAGCAGCGTCCCTAGTGCTATGCCATGCAAGTTCGTGTGCCCAGCCAGCTTGCAGCGCTGCATTATAGGAAGCTCGCGCGTGATGAGCGTGTCGCTATCATATTTGCCGTACGCAATCGGCATGCCAGTACTCCAAGAGTATGGTACCATGAAACTACCGTGAAACTACCGTGAAATTGCCGTGAAACTACCGTGAACTTAGCGTGAACCCCCTTTATTCTGCGTGAACCCCCTTTGTTTTGCGTGAACCACGCACACCCCAAAACCGATGTTTTCCCGTGATACCTGAGCTCGTGAGTCAACCCGTCCGCCCTGAGTGGTTCGTCCGCCCAAAGGTACATGCCACTTGGATTCATGAATGAAACTTTCGAAGTCTATATAGAATTGATTGTCTTGCTTGACAAGAACCTCTAATATGCCCTTTGGCAGTTTGCCCATGATGTTTTTTTTTCACCAGCTCGACCGG